TTTTCCAGTCAGTTGGCCAGATAGCTGTTCTCCAGATTTCTTGGCTCAACCTTGGCATCCAGGACCGTATCTGTTTGTTGAAATATTTGGTATTCCATCAATACCTGAGGCTTATTTTTTACCAATTCCTTCACATCAGCTTGAAATTCCTTATTACCATTAGTTTTTGACCATATGCTACTACCTGAAATGGTTCTGTGTCAACCAACTCTTTTTGATACAGTGACTCCATGTATTCCTTCTGTCTTCTTTGGATGGTTCCTGGACCATTGAAGATTTTGCCCATGGCATCTTTAAGTATTCCAACTCTACGCTTGAATTCATTCCTGAGTTCCATCAGCCTGAGAAACAGCAAGTTCTTCCTTTTTTTATTTTCTGACTCAAACTTTTTGCACATTTCCTCATAATATTTTGCTTTTTCTTCACAAGCTCCCCTTTGAAATCTTATTTTCAGCTCTTTAATTCTTCATTTCTTCTCTTTGTTTTGGCTTCTTGATGCTCTAGTGCAATATTCAGAGTCTCTTCTGACATTCATCTTGGTGTTTTCTTCCTCTTTGCAATAACCTTTTGCTTTCTTCATGGATGATGTTCTTGATATCATCCCAATAGCTCATATGGCCTTCCTTTGGAACTAGTGTTCCATTCCTCAAATCTGTTCTTCAGATTGTTTTTAAATTGAGGTTGTGCGATAGACTCAAGGTCATTATTTTGTTCTTGTGGATGTGTTTTCATCAATTTATTTTGTCTACTCAGACAATAGATAGTAAGATAGATAGATAGATAGATAGATAGATAGATAGATAGATAGATATTTTCCAGCCTGTGTGGGTCCTTGTAAAACTGGGTATAATTAATAATTTCTTTCTTCATGTTCTAATAAATGGTTGTATCATAATTGGAAAGAGGAAAATATTATGGCCTGGGCAAATAGGGACTGGTTGTTGTTGTTGTTATGTGCTGTCAAGTCATTTGCGAGTAATAACCTTATGTATTCTAACTCTGAACCCTGCCCTATCCTAAAACACAGATAGAGATTCATCTGGTACTCTCTGCTTTCAGCTGAGAACTGTTACCTGCTTTTGTCTGCATAGACAGAATATGTGTTGTTATATGCCATCAAGTTTCCTGCAACTCATAACAATCCTATATGTAATAGCTCTGAATCCTGTCCTATCCTGAGTTAGTCTGACAATGATACAACTACCCCCAGTACTCCAGTTACTGTGTTCATCTGTTTCATCCGAGGTCTTCCTCTCCTATGCTGTCCCTCCAGCCTCTCAAGGATCATGTCATTCTCCAAGGACTGTCCCTCCTAGCAACATGCTGAAAGTATGTAAGACAGAGCTTCAAAACCCTTGCCTCCAAGGAGCAGCTCGGTTTCACCCTCTCCAAGACATACCTGTTCTTTCTCTTAGCAGTCCATGATATGTTCAGTTCTCTTCTCCAGCACAACATCTCAAAGGCATCAATTCTACTTCCATTATCCTTAGTCATTGTCCAGCTCTCTGATGCATAGCAGTAATTATGAAGATGATGGCTTGGATCAGATGCATCTTAGTCTCTAGACTGACATTCTTGCTCTTTAGTTCTCTGGAGAGGTACCTAGAAGCAGATTTGGCCGAAGCATTTCATCTTTTGATTTTCTGACTAATGGTGTGTCAAGAGTTCCTATTTATTTTAGGATTCCAGCAGCTCCAAAATTTATCATATGCTTAATTCCCAGAACTGACATTTATAAAATCTAATAACATAAAGAATCTGAGGTAGTGGATAGAATCCATTTTGGTAAGGGTATGTATTTGGAAGCAGGAGTGTCATCCACTTCCTAAACAACATGTCTCTGGAAACTCTGTGCACTTTGATAAGTGTCAGTAGTTGTAGAGGGGCTTCAGGCCTTTTGTTCATAGGGCTGCTATGAGTTGTGCTCAACATGATGGCAATTAACAACAACAACAATGATGTAGTGCATAGAAAAAAGACTGACATTATTAACTATTTCATCTTACTTGGATCCACAATCAACCCACTTGGTACCAGGAATCAGGAGATCAGGAGACATATTGTACTGGGAAAGTCTCCAGTCAGGGATCTCTCCAAATTACTAAGGAACAATGATGTCAGTTTGAAGACTAAGGTGTGTCTAATCCAGGCCATGATCTTTTCAATCACTTGCTGGGAGAATTAGATCTGAGAACTAGACAATTAATAATGATGACAGAAGAAGAAATTAATGTCTTTGATTTTTGATGGTGGAGAAGAGTGCTGAATATCCCATGGACTGCCAAAAGTGTAGCCAGAGTGTTCCTTCAATACAAAGATGACAAAGCTTCATCTCACACATGTTGCTAAGAGAGGCTATTCCTTGGATAGGGACATCATGCTTGGAAAGGTGGAGAATTGGCAAAAGAGAGGAAGATCCACAACAAGATGGTTTGATGCAATGACTACTGAATTAGACTCAAGTGTGTCAGAATGTACGAAGGTGGCACAGGATAGGACAGGATTGAGATCTGTTGTTCATAGTGTCACTGTGGGTCATACTCAACTTTATGGCACTTCACAATATGTAGTTTAGATTTTTCTGGATTTTTTTAATTACTTTTAAGATTTTTCTGGATTTTTTTAATATCTAAGACCCACCCCAGATTGTATATGCTTTCTATTAAAACACCACTTACAACACTATAAAAAGTTCAGTACAAATTTGAAATGTTTTATTCATTAATTTATTGTCCTGTGAGATTTTCCATATTTACTCAGAAATAGCCTTAATGTTTGTCAGTTTGAAAGATTTGGTTAACATGCAACCCAAGGAAAATAGAACCTTACATGGATTTCCAGGGCAGTCAGAGTCATTGTTGTGGAGTGGGAACAGACCATAGCTGACCCTCCATTGTTTCGGAGGCTGTAAATTGCATGGGAGGGAGATTACCCTTGTTTCTCCTGAGGATCATTCAGCTGGTAGATTGAAATGGTCACAGAGGCACAGATTTTAGCTTTCTCTGAACTTCATCATCAGAGCTCCCAGAGGGCTGAATCCAAGCTACTAGACCACCGGGGACTGTCTCCAAGGCCAGAAATCCTTAATTTTAAAAGTTTTGTTAGAAAAAAGTTCAAGTAAAAGAGATTCTCATTTGTTTGTTTGTTTGTTTTAATCAACTAGTAAGTTAAGAAGTAAAGTGCTAGTTTATTTCAGGGGCAGCAAACAGAGATTATCCTCAGTTTCAAGCACAGTCCAATTCCATTGGTCATTTCTGATATAAGTCAATCTGGAGAACAACCACTTGGCCAACTGACTGGAAGAGATCTATATTTGTTCCCATTCCAAAGAAAGGTGACCCAACTGAGTGTGGAAACTACAGAACAGTGTCATTGATTTCACATGCAAGCAAGATTCTACTGAAGATTATCCAAAAACGATTAGAACAGCACATCAGCAGAGAACTGCCGGAAGTCCAGGCGGGGTTTAGAAGGGGTTGTGGTACTAGGGATATTGTTGCTGATGTTAGATGGATCTTGGCTGAAAGCAGAGAATACCAGAAGAATGTCTATCTGTGTTTCATTGATTATGCAAAGGCATTTGACTGTGTGGATCATAACAAACTGTGGCTGACTCTGAGAAGACTGGGAATCCCAGAACATTTAATTGTGCTAATGCGAAACCTATACTTGGACCAAGAGGCAGTAGTCAGAACAGAGTAGGGTAACACTGCATGGTTCAAAATTGGGAAGGGTGTACGCCAGGGATGCATCCTGTCTCCATACCTTTTCAACATGTATGCAGAGCAGATTATCTGAGAGGCTGGGCTCTTTGAGGAGAATCGTGGCATCAGGATTGGTGGAAGATCTATTAACAATCTGCGTTATGCAGATGACACAACCCTGCTTGCTGAAACTGAGGAGGACCTCATGCACTTGCTGCGAAGGGTCAAGGACTGCAGCCTTCAGTATGGACTGAGGCTCAATGTCAAAAAGACAAAGATTCTCACCACTGGACCTTTGGCAGTGTCAGGATGGATGGCGAAGAGATTGAAATTGTTCACAGCTTCAGTTTGCTCAGCTCCATGGTCAACGCTCTTGGCACCAGCAGTCAAGAAATCAAAAAGCGTATCGCGATGGGAAAGTCTGCTGTTAGGGACCTCTCTAAAGTACTCAGGAGCAACGGTGTCTCTCTGGAGACTAAGGTGTGCCTGATACAGGCCATGGTCTTTGCAATCGCTTGTTATGCATCAGAGAGTTGGACAATGACTAGGGAGGACAGAAGGAGAGTGGATGCTTTTGAGCTGTGGTGCTGGAGAAGGGTACTGAATGTACCATGGACTTCCAGGAAAACAAACAGATTCATCTTGGAGAGGATTAAACCTGGCTACTCCTTGGAGGCAAGGATTCTGGGGCTTCGTCTGACATACTTTGGACATGTTGCCAGGCGGGATGGGTCCTTGGAGAGGGACATCATGCTTGGGAGGGTGGAGGGACAGCGCAGGAGGGGAAGACCCTCTATGAGATGGATTGATTCGGTGAGTGGGGTAATTGGGATGGGTGTGTCAGAGGCAGTGCGGTTGGCCCAGGATAGAGCAGGGTTTAGGGCTGTTGTGCATAGGGTCGCTATGAGTCAGAAACGACTCGACGGCACATAACAACAACAACAACCTCTTTTTTTAATTACCACCATAGAGTCAATTCTGGCTGATAGTAACACTATAAAACAAAGTAGAAGAGGCCCATAGAGATTCAAAGCCATCAGTCTTCACAGAAATAGAATGCCCCATCTTTCCCCCATAACTGGCAAGTATATTTTAGTACTGTATATAATGATAAGATCTGGAAAAAGAAAAACCCACAAGGGAAGTTTCTCATAACTTGAGTAAATAGTAAATCAGAGACTTACCTGAACTTGAAGTTTTTCAGAAAGCTGAACCTGGATTGCAGCAAGATAAACACAAAATTAAAAAAAATTTTTTTTTAAAGCCGTACCCTCTCTCTTGCTTTTTGTCTTGCAGATCCTTTGCCTCCTCCTAGGTTTGAAGTCAACAGAGAGAAAACCACTTCAACCAGCTTAAGCGTTTGGTGGACTCCTTCTCCTGGGAAAGTTACCTGGTATGAAGTACGCTTGTGTGATGATAACAACCAAAAGATACAGGAGGCCCGAATTCCGGAAAATAGTTCCTCCACGGAATTTACTTTTTTTAACCTCACTGCTGGTAATAAATATAATGTTGCCATCACAGCTGTTTCTGGAGAGAAACGTTCCTCTATAATTTATACCAATGGATCAACAGGTAAGAGCTATTTACATATAATTGTATATTATGTATGATATTTCTGAAGTTTTATTTTATCCAATTTCCTCCCCAGACAAAAAGGAGAAAATGTAAGGGGTAGGGGTGAGAAGGCTGTGATACAATGGACTGAACTGAAAATAATGATCCAGATTGTGCTGCTTACTTGCTGGATGAATTTGACCAAATTAAAAAATTGGATAACTCTCTAGGACTGGCGTTTTCTCCAGTTTTAAGTGGTTTCTTCCTAACGGCACTTGTGAAACAAAACCTAGGCAATGGGACTTTTTTTTTTTGCCTTCTTGGTACAGTGGTTAAGCTTTGGATTGTTAACCACAAGGTCAGAGATTCAAACCCACCAACCACTCTGAGGAATAAAGATGTGGCAGTCTGTGTCCATAAAGACTTGGAGCTTTGGAAATTCTATGGAAAAGTTCTACTCTGTCCTAGAGGGTCTTTGGAAGTCAGAATTTACTTAACTATAGGGGGTTGGGGGTTTTCCCTCTATGTTTGTTCCATAAAACATTTGTAAAATGCTTTCCTTTTTAATATTATTCTCATAACATTAAATCATGAAGTTTCCTAAATATTCCTCTATATGAGACAAGCCTGGCTCCCTGACTTGGTGAAAAGTAAGTCACCTCCTGCACCTGTACTTTGGGATACTGATTGTGAATATTTTCACCTCCTTTCAGGAAGTATTCTTCCTTCTTGGCTCCCATCACCTCTTTTCCTGTCCCTGTCTTGTCTCTGTACATTGTTTTATCTTATATAGTGCTTTCTTTTTTTTCTCTTCCTTTTACTACCTCATCATACTTTATTTGAAAAAATTATCTTATATGCATACTAAGTGTTCCAAGAAAGAAAGATGAGTGGTCTGCTCTCATTCAGATTTATAGCCTCAAAACCTCTATGTTGGGTCATTATGAGTCTTAATAGACTTGAAGGCAGTGACTTGAGTTAGATTGAGTTGAGTTGACTTGAGTTGAGTTTGGTTGGGTTGAGTTGAGTTGAGGAGATAGCTAAGTAAGCTGTGATATAGGTTTAATCTGTAGACTTTAGAAAGAGTATGAATTAACATTCAGAAAAATCCAAGAATGTTTTTTCTTTATTAATGTTATTAAACCAAATATATTTATAAATAAGCATAAATGAATGTGTGATCTCTAAATAAATGTGTTTCTGGATTCTATTAGGAAATTATGAATGACTTTGGACATGCATTTTTGTCTCACCAGTGCCTTCTCCAGTGAAAGATGTTGGTATTGTTACAAAACCCAATGCCCTCCTGATTTCCTGGTCCCATGGCTCTGGGAATGTGGAGCAATACCAGCTAATGTTAATGGATAGAGGGATTCTAGTTCACAGCGACACAGTGGACAAGCATGCTACTTCCTACACTTTTCATGGACTCACTCCTGGACACCTCTACAATCTTTCAATTGTGACTGAGGCTGCAGGACTGCAAAGCTACAAATTGAAACTAATCAGGACAGGCAAGTTCCCCTAGATAGTGAGCAGGAAAAATGCTCAAGCCATGTAAATGTTTAATGACCAAGGGACTTCCTTTCTTTCTAACTAATCACACTATCATTTGGCTTCTTATTTACTGCCTCCATCTCCTGGGTAAGGATGTATACCTCCTTCTTTTTAAATAGGCATTACTTGATTTTGTGACATTCCTACTTATTTTCAGTATTATACATAGACAAAGAGCTCTGCATCTCAATGGTTAGGGACCCAGCTGCTAACCCAAATACTGGTTGTTTGAAAAGTTTAGCAGCTCTCCAGGAGAAAGAACTGGCTGCCATAAAAATTAGTGCATTTAAAAAAAAAACAACAACCATTCCATCAGGCAGTTCTACTCTGTCATACAAAGTCCTTGTGATTCCAAATGGACTTCCACCACCAAACAGCAGTAATCAATCAAGACCTTCATCCTGGGTTAGTTTGTTATGATACTGAAAGCTATGCCACTTGTATTTTAATTATCAGCAGATTCATTCATGGTGGACAGGTTTCAATGGTGTATTCATGCTATGACAGACTAAGAAAAGAAGCCTGAGGATCTAATTCTGAAAATTAGTCCTTGAAAACTTTGTGGATCACAACCAAATACTGTCCTTTAGTGCTGTAAGATAAGGTCCTTAGAATGAAAAGTACTCAGATTCTCCAGTGCCCTCAACACTTGGTTGAGTCTAATGATTGTGAAAATGGTACAGAACTAGGCAATGTATTCTTTTGTTGTACATGGTTCATCATGAGTTAGAGCCAACTGTAGGGAACATACACAGACATACTCCCATTGTATATCCTCCCATTGTAGGTGTCTATAATAACCATTTCTATCTGTGCAATAAATTGTATCCTGGAACTCAGTATAATCTTTTTCACTGTCTAACCTATCCTCAAAGGTGAGCTGGCCTCCTTTAATGAATAATTCATACATTGATTCATTCAAAGAATGAGTATTTATTGAGTATCAGCTACAACTACTCAACATGGTGAGGTTGCAAAAGGATTAAGTTGTTATGTGAAAATTGGCACGCACAACATAGAGGATGACCATATCATTAATTGACAACCAAATTATATCATTGTCTAAATATCAAACCACTGAGAATCGGGAACCAGACAAGTTGGCACATACCGTGCATTTTCACAGCCAGTCAACCTACTTTTACCTCATACCTTGACATTCTTTACTATCAAATATGTGTTGTTAATATGCAAAATAGAGAGTAGGGGTTTTACACAGATATATATGTTAAATATCAGATATTAGATAGCTGATAAGTGGGGAGGAGGTGTATATGCTAGGTATTGAAGATACAACAACATCTAAGAAGAGAGGCAAAGTTTTTGCTCTCAGGAAGCTTATATCTCAGTAGATTCTAATGTTTCTGGTGAGTTTAATGTACTAATAAATCTCTTTCTTGGTAAATTGCCTAATCTTAATAGAGATATAAAATGTTGTCGTTATATACTATTGAGTCAGAACCAATTCAGCTGTTTTCAAAGACTATAGATCATAAAGGAAAAATTACTCATCTTTTCCTGTGGAGCAGATAGTGAATTTGAACCATGTGCCTTTGGGTTGGCAGTTCAACTCCTTACTACTAAGCCATCGAAGCTCCCTTGGACTGCCAAAAGAACAAACATCTATGTAGTACCTTGGAAATTATTCTGTGGAGGCTGGTGAGAAAGACATTTTGAAATACCTAAGTAGGTCTGTCCTGGAGAAAGTGAAACCAGGATGTTTCCTTGGAGGAAAGGGTGGTGAAACTCTGTCTTACATTCTATGAGTGTGTTGTCAAAAGGGACAAGTCCTTGGGAAAGAGCATCCTGCTTGAAAGGTAGAGGAAGACTCTCAATGAGATGGATTTACACAGTGACTGTGGCAGTGGGGTCAGGTGTGTCAGAGCCGATAATGTTGGCTCAGTATAGAGCAAGATTCAAAGTCATTGTTGATAGAGTTGCTATGAGATATAGTCGACTTGATGGCACATAACACTAGCAATGTATAACATGGGAATGATGGGCAATCTTCTCAAGTGTGACTTAAATTCTCTAAAAACCCACTAGAGGGTCAGTTATGAGTCGGCTCCCACTCAGTGGCACTTAACAACAGCAAAATATTTACGTAACTTTTAAATCATTCCTCAAAGAGGTATTGATTTTCCTGACCAAAAAAAGATATGTCATATCTAAGAGTCCAGTTCCAACTGTCCTATACAAGATCAGTGTGATTCCTTAATGAATAGACTCTAAGGAATTCTATGTCCTTGCTGTTGTTGTGTATCATGGAGCCAGAACTGCCCCATGGCGGACCGTCCAGTGGGTTTTCAGAGGCAGTAAGTCACGTGGGAGGAGATGGCCCATCTTTCTCCGATGGAGCGCTGGTGGATTCTAGCCACATGCCTTTGGGTTGATAGCACAACTTCTTATCACTAAGTCACCACTGTTCCCTTTATAAGTCCTTAGTAAGACTCAAAATCACAAGCTGGCAAAGGTAGACAAAAATATCCACCAAAGAAGTATCTCCATCTTTTGCAATCGTTTTTCTTTAATGAAATAATACCACAATCAAACTATAACTTTTAATATTTTAGCACATAAAATTTTGTGACGGTTAGTCATTTAATCTATTTATTACAAGGGCATCCCTAGGTATTAGAAGTAGTTAACATGTTTATTTGCTAACCCACAGTTTCGTGGTTCTGTTCCACCCAGGGGTGCCTCTGAAGAAAGGCCTGGTGAGCAAAAATTCAGCCTTTGAAAATTCTCTGGAGCACAATTTTGCACTGGCACAGTGGGGTCCCCAAGAGTTGGAACTAACTCTATGACAGCTAGTAGTTATTATAAATTTGCTATTATTAAGTAAATAAACACTAGAAGAAATGAGGCAGATGACAGACTTCTTTGAGTATTCCACTTGAAGAATTTCAAAACCAGAAAAGATCCTTTCAGGTCTTTTGGCAAAGACTTATTGTACCAATGAGGGACATTATGATTGGCGAGAAACAAAGAGTTGCCTAGGGTCCAACTGACTGATCGCCAAGTGTCAACCAGAATCCAGGCTCCCAACTTCCAGGATGGTACTCTTTCCACTAGCCCAATAGCCTTTCTTTTGTTTAAAAGTATTATTTTTACCTGTTGAAATAGCAGTTTTTATGGCTTATAGTAGTTAGAATACAGATACAATTTGGTTTCTCAACTGGTAAAATGCTTTTCTTTCCCAACTAGCCCCAATGGAAGTCTCAAATTTGAAGGTGACAAATGATGGCAGTTTGACCTCTCTCAAAGTCAAATGGCAAAAACCTCTTGGAGATGTGGATTCCTACAACATTACCCTGTCTCACCAAGGGACCGTCAGGGAATCCAGAATATTAGCACCTCAGGTTACTGAAACTCACTTTAAAGATTTAACCCCTGGACGCCTTTATCAGGTCACCATCAGCTCTATCTCTGGAGAATTTTCTACTCAGAAGATGGCAGTTGGCAGAACAGGTGAGTCTTCAGCCCCAGAATCTTGCTTGGTTTCTCAGATCACTCCTGAATTCATCATAGAACAGATGAAAGTAAGTTGGAGGGAAAACTTCTTTTCCACCTGGAAAGGATGAGCTATCTGAAGGCATCTGTGGGTCGGGAACTCATATACTGAGTAAAGCAGAGGATTAATTGCATTCATCTGCGTTATTAAACAATGTATTTAAGGTCCTGAATGATCTGCATACTTGATCCTGCGCTCTGTATTTTTTTCTGTCACACAATTTAAGTAGCATAAATAGCACTAATAATAATGAATAAAACATTTCTAAGGTTGTCTTATAGGGAGCCCAGGTGGCTTAATTGTAAGAAGAGCTATGCAGTTTGAATACACCAGCTGCTCCATGAGATAAAAACAGGCAATCTCCTCCCATGTGATTTACTGAAAAACTACCAGAGAGTCAGCTATGGATCAGCTTCACCACCACGACACAAGAGCAACAGAAAGAATCTTATAGGGAGGGTCAAGGAGCTCCGGTGGCCTTATGCTAAGAAGCTGCACTGCAATCCCAAAGGCACGTGGTTCTAAACCACCACCTGCTCCATGGGAGAAGGATGGACAATCTCCTATGCAATGAACTTCCTCTGAAAACCCACAGGAAGGTCAGCCTTGGGCTGGTTCCAAATCAACGACATGCAATAACAACATAGGGAGAGTCAGTTACCATTTAACTGTGTTTTCCAGAAGTTATGTGATTGTTATTAAACATTTACCTAGCAGTCTTTATGGGTAAATTAAGGCACTAAGCACTTTGGAAGTTGGGTGTTTTTTAAAATACAATTTGCCTTTAAGGAAAACGTCAACAAATGATGATAAGAGGCCAAGTTTGTTTATGTACAGCCCCAGATAGATCATAGAGTAGCTTTTATATTTTTAGCAGTGGTTTAAATAAAGTAAATTATAAGATCTAGAACTATTTATGATTCATAAAGCTTGAAATATTTACTATCTAATGCTTTCTAGGAAATGTTTGCTGAACCCTACTTTCAGTTCACATTTTAATAGCATAGATGTGGACTGCACACAAAAATGAAAACAAAAAGTCAAACACTGGAAATTTTACTGATGTTCCCTTTATCAGGCAATGCCTACACAATTTGTTGTTCTTAGGAATCATTGAGTTAACTCCAACTCATAGTAACCTTATTAACAATAGACCTACACCTTGTCCAATCCATTATTTTATGTAGTTATTATAACAAGCAATGATATTGTTTGATAATTTCTGCACTCTGTCAGGTCACCTTTCTTTAGAATAGGAACAAATATAGATCTCTCCCAATCAGTCGGCCAGGTGGTTGTCCTCCAGATTTCTTGGCACAATTTGATGAGCACATCCAGGGAAGTGTCTGTTTGTTGAAATATGTCAATTGGTATGTCATCAGTTCCTGAGGCGTTGTTTTTTGACAATTCTTTCAGAGCAGCTTGAACTTATTCCTTCATCACACCAGGTTCTTGCTCATATATTGTTCCATAAAATTCTTCTGTGTTTGCCAATTCTGTTTGGTACAATGGTTCTGTATCCTTTTTCCATCTTCTTTTAATGCTTTCTGGATCATTTAATATTCTACCCAAAGCATCCTTAAGTATTGCAACTCAAGGCTTGAACTTTTCTTCTGTTTCCTCAGCCCAAGAAATGCCAAGCAAGTTCAGCCCCTTTGATTTTCTGACTCCAGCTCTTTGCTGCCCTTTGAAATTATGCAAGCAAGATTCTGCTGAAGATTATCCAAAAACAACCAGAACAACACGTCAACAGAGAATTGCCTGAAGTTCAGGTTGGGTTTAGAAGAGGTCGTGGTACTAGGGATATTATAGCTAAATATTGCATAGATTTTGGCTAAAAGCATGGAGTACCAGAAAAACGTCTATCATTGACTATGCAATGGATCACAACAAAATGTGGCTGACTCTGAGAAGAGAGGGAATCCCAGAAAACTTGATTGTGCTTATGTGAAACTTACTTGGACCAGGAGACAGTCGTCAGAACAGAGCAAGGAAACATTGCATGGTTCAAAATTGAGAAGTTGTACACCAGGGATATGTTCTATCTCCATTATCTTTTCAATCTATATACAGAATGGATTATCCTGGAAGTTGGGCTCTATGAGAAAAAATGTGGCATCAAGATTAGAGGTAGACTCATCAACAATCTGCTTTATGCAGATGACACAACCCTGCTTGCTGAAACTGAGGAGGACCTGAAGCGCTTGCTGCAGATGGTCAAGGACTGCAGCCTTCAATGTGGAGTGAAGCTCAACATCAAGAAAACAAAGATTTTTCACCACTGGGCTGATTGTCAGCCTCATGATAAATGGTGAAGAGATTGAGATTGTTACCAGCTTCAGTTTACTTGGCTCCACAATCAACACTCTTGGTACCAGCAGCCAGGAAATTTAAAGATTAATTTTATTGGGTAATTCTGCTGTCAGAGACCTCTCCAAAGTACTAAAGAGCAATAATGTCAGTCTGGAGAATAAGGTGTGCCTGATTTGGGCCATAATCTTTGCAATTTCTTGCTATGCATCAGAAAGCTGGGCAATGTCTAGGGATGATAAAAGGAGAATTGATGCCTTTGAGCTGTGGTGCTGGAGTATTGAATATACCATGGACTGCTAGGAGAACAGATTCATCCTAAAGAGGGTCAGACCAGGCTGCTGCTTGGAGGCAAGGATTCTGAAGCTTCATCTGACATACTTTGGACAAGTTGCAAGGAAGGACCAGTCCTGGGAGAGGCTCATCATGAGTGAGAGGGTAGAGGGACAGCGCAGGAGAGGAAGGAAGACCCTCTATGAGGTGGATTGATTCAGTGACTGGGTTAATGGGGTTAGGTGTCAGAGACAATAAGATTGGCACAGGACAGAGCAGGGTTTAGGGCTGTTGTACATAGGGGAGCTGTGAGTCGCAGGCAACTCGATGGCACATAGCAACAACAATTGTAACAAAGCCATGAAAGATATGTTATTATCACCATTTTACAAATAACTCTGAAATCAAATAACTTGTGCACAGTCATTTAGAATTGTAAGTATTGAAGCTAGAATTTAAGCTTTGACTATCTGATTTCAGAGTCCCTTCATCTCTAGGGTGTCCAAGAAAGAACTTTATGCTTAAGAAAAGAGAATAAAATTCTCTTTAAGAAGATCAGAGAAGGTTTTTTTAGTGCAGGCCCCTTTAACTGGGATCTAAAGAATATGTAGTTCTTTGTCAGGTGGAAAGGAGGAGAAGGGAAGGGGATCTGAGATAGTGGGAACAATATGAGCAAAGCACAGAGACACTAGGGAACATTCAGGCCTGCAGAACATACAACTGGAGGCCAGTGTTCCAGGGGTTTGGAAAAGGCAAGCAAGTGTGGATAATTCTGGAAACATATGGGATCTGATGGTTTTCTAGAGCCACGGAAACCAAGTCAAGGGCTTTTATTCTTTAGTCAATGGAGGGACTTAGGCTATTTTGATCAAAAGAAAAATATCAGAACTGTACTGCAAGAAGACTAATGTTTTCCATTTTAAAAAGAGAAAAGAACATTATATGATCACAACATCCAGTATCTCCTCAGAGCTGCCACGTTCATCAACGTCACTATCATTAGCAGTGATATTGGTGTTGCCTTAATGACTGGTAGGGAGCTCTGGTGGACTAGAGGTTAGCGAATTGTGCTGCCAACACTCACCCACTCACTCTAACAGTTCGAATCCACTAGCATCTATTCTGGAGAAAAATGGACAGTCTCCTGCCGTGTGAGTCACAGCCTTTGAAAACCCACTGCAGGGTTACTTAATGAGTTGCTTCTAACTTGACAGCAGTGAGAGGTGTATTGTTTTGTTTTGTTTTGTTTTTGTTAATGACTTGTGTGTAATCAATAAAAGCAGCCTTCTCATCACTAGATTTTAAATGACCTTGTGGAAGACCACATTACTGATATCTAACTGAAATTATTTTTAACTTACATTTCTTGAATGTCAGGTGTCTCCCTGACAAAAATAGAAAAAGGCTCCTATTTGCAATCCACAGAGATAAAAGTGAGGCAAGTGAAAAGATTTTGGTTGCAGATATTATATCTCCTATCTTTTATTTCTCATAGAAAGGAAATAAGGGTCATTGGGCTCGTGTGTGTGTGTGTGTGTGTGTGTGTGTGTGTGTGTGTGTGTGTGTGTTAAGTGTCTCCTTTTGGTTTTAATCTCTAGTTCCAGAGAAAGTTGGGAAGCTGGAGGCGAATAGCAAGAGTTGGACGAAGTCCCTCATAGTGAGCTGGCTGCCCCCTGCTGGCGACTGGGAGCAGTACCGTATTGTGCTCTTCAATGATTCTGTGGTGCTGCTCAACACCACTGTGGAAAAGGAGGAAACACAGTATGTCCTGGACAATATAGGGCTCATACCAGGAAGACAGTATGATATAGAAGTCATTGTTGAGAGTGGAAATCTGAAGAATTCGGAGCATTGCCAAGGCAGAACAGGTAAGAGAACCAACGAGTGCCAGTAAATTACTAATTGCTTACTAATTGAATAGATTCCAGGGTATGGCAGCCCCATATATGCATGGTAGGGATGCTCCATTGGGCTGCCAAGGCTGTGATCTTTTGGAAGCAGATCATCGGGGTTGTCTTCTGAAGTACCTCTGGCTGATAGGACCTTGATTTAATCCCTATCCCAAGTCACCTGAGCTTTGGCGACCTAGTGGTAAGGAGCTGCACTGGCAGCCCAAAGGCATATGGATTGAATCCACCAGCTTCTCCACAGGAGAAAGATGGACAGTCCAATCCTATGCAACTTACTGTCTCTGAAAACACAAGTAACTATTAAGGCCATACACAGCATACCTGAGTTTGAGATATTATAGATCAGTAGAGTTTCAGATATACAAACTGACAAACAACCAATAACATTTCGTTTTGCCAAAAAGAAAAGATTTCTTCCTTCAATAATGTCCTTGCTTTTTAAAAGAAAAACTTCTTAACATAAAAAGACTAAAAAAAAAATACAATCTGATAGTAAAAGCTGATCCTTTTACCAAAAGATGGTTAACAACCCTTTGCTGGTGATCCACGTTCAGGAACTCTTATTTTGACAAAATGTTGACTAATGTAGGAATTTCTACTACAAAAGGAAGCATGACTAAAATGAAGACGATATATTTGGATTTCAAAATAGGGGAGAATAAAGATCCCGAGACATATTTCATGGTGTTTTTGCGATATACTTTAATTGCTTTGACAAGTTTAACTTGTCAGATCTTGTTTCTTCAACTTTTAAATAAGAGAATGACCTTTCAAAGTTATAAAAAATTCTGTGAAAATCCTTATGACATGGAATACTCCATAACTGGGTGAAATTCAAATATATTCTCTCTTAGCCTTGCCTTAAAATAAAGACATATTTATATTAATTTAACTTTTTTCTTAGAAATATTACTATGAAAAGGATAGGGACATCCCTTGGCATGCCAGCTGTGTCTTCCAGCCATCTCTTCATCTTCCAAATATTGATGGCTTTGGAAGATCATCAAAGATCTACGTAGGTGTAAACTGAGCCATTTTCCGGATTTCACAGGACATTGTGCAATATTCTCCTTCATGATGACCTCACACAGTGTCTAAAGCGGTAAAATCTTTGTGGAAGCCGATTGTTCCGTATGCCTTTCACAGAGCAGCTGGTAGGTTCAAACCTCTGACCTTTCATTTAACAGTCAAGTACTTACCCACTGCACTACCAGGCAAACACAAATATATATATATACCCTCTTCAATATTTTTTTCATTAACTGCAAATAACTTGGAAATATAACATAAAGGGATAGTGAAGGCAGTCAGCACGTTGGCAGAATTCTCCAGAGAACTTTTCTTACAATTAGTCTCTAAGTATTAAGGTAACTTTTCCAACTCATCATAAAAAGTCCAGTTTGTTTCTCCATTCTGAAGAGGGAAGTTACCAATTTCAGAAATAAAGATGAGATTATACAAAGATTTTTTTTAAAAAAAATTACAATCAGAAAGTATGGCTTAACCACTGGTTTATAGGTTGAAAATTTTGCACTTAGGAATTTCTCTTAGACATGGCCAATTTTTTTTTAAATTATCCGTTAAGTACCTATCACATAATAGACACAGATCTTCTCACGTGCCTTGGTGGTTTCTTTTAGAAATTATAAAAACAAAACTTTGTTTCAATAGAAGTAATTTGATTCTGTAGATCTACCAGTTGCGGTTAGACTTATATTAGACTCAGGTGTTACAGAGTCGAGCCATAGTCCGTGGAGTTCTCAAAACTACGTTAGCCAAAGGTCATTATACCTTGCTTTTGAAGACTCTGAGTAGATTTGAACTACCAACTTTTCTGTTAGTAGTCAAGCACTTAAGTATATGTGCCACCCAGGGACCCCTTCTTTAGATATCTTTTTGTGTGCCATCGAGTTAAAGCCAACTCATAGCTGACCCTTCAGAGGGTTTTCTGAGGCAGTAAATTGTATAGGAGGAGATTGTCCATCCTTCTTCCATGGAGCAACCAGTGGATTAGGACTGTCTGTCTTTAGGTTAGCAGTACTCCCGAGACAATCAGAGCTCTCTTCAGACATAGGGAATTTTTAATCAGGTGTCATTTCTTCCTTTCATGAACATCAGTGTCTTCTTTGGAAATGGAAGGAAGAAAGTACTGGGTCTTTCCAAGCTAATTATAAATATTCTCAACTCCACCTAAATACTTAAACGTAGACTTTCCTCTATAATTGTTTTGGGCAAAAAGTAGATAAAATAGAGTGTACTTGGGGTGGTGAGGGGAGGCAGGGCGATTGTATACCAATGAAGGAATTTTTCTTTTTCTTTTCAAAGAGAAGAGCAAACTGGGGGATAGGAATGGGCAGGGAGAAAAAGTGCAACAATGAATGAATGGAAATCCAAAATCTCTGTAAATGTTCATTAAAATTAATAAAATATATATTTCTTTAAAAGTAGATAAAATCTTTTTCTATGATAGAATTCTTATACTGATAAAAAAATACTAGTACAGTAATATGTCGTCAAGTATAGGTGATTCTTCCAACCAAGTGTTTCAGAATAGTATTCTCTTGAATCTTTTTTTAAAATTATGTTAACATGAGTCAAGGTTAAAGTAACTATTAAAAAAAATAAAAAGAATTCACAAGTATTAAGAAATTAGCTGCTGACTGAACACTGATACAAATGGAGGAGATGAGCCTTGTAAGGAATACTACATAAGGATATATTAGGCAAACAATGATCTAAAGCTCCATTGCCTTTTTCCTTAGTCCCCTCAGCTGTCCTCCAGCTTCGTGTCAAACATGCCAATGAAACCTCCCTGAGCATCATGTGGCAGACCCCTGTCGCCGAGTGGGAGAAGTACATCATTTCACTAGCTGATGGGGACCTCTTGCTCATCCACAAGTTGCTCTCCAAAGATGCCAAAGAATTCACTTTTACTGACCTGGTGCCTGGGCGAAAATATGTGGCTACAGTTGCTAGTATCAGTGGAGACTTGAAAAATCCATCATTAGTAAAAGGAAGAACAGGTAATATTCTTTATCCATTTTAGATTTTTAAATATCCTGCTTGCTAATTGTTTAACATCAAATTGCTGTTCATTATCCTGGACATTGTTTATGAATTTTGTGTGATTTTTTTTTCTATTTCACTAATTTCAACTCCATATTAGTTACTTCTTTCTTTCTATTTTACTTACCTTTATTTTGCTAAAATTGAAGTAGAGAATAACTCTTCCACAGAGTTTTGTTACAAAGATGAGCAGAGAAATGAGGTAGAAGAAGTAAGACTGTTTGTTTAAATATATGAGAAATAACATTTGCTTCCCTTTTTTTTGGCTGGTAGAAATGAGCTAGAAGAGAGGGAATGGTAATGATGTGAAGGGAGCAAAGAATTGCTGCAGTTATGCCATGAGTGAGAGAGACTGGAGCACAAGGGAAGAAGTGAGGTGCAGGATTATGATCAATTATGAACAGCATTGAGAATAAGAATTGTACAATGCCTAATTGTGCTTATGAGGAGCAGGTGCATGAAGCAAGCAGCAGTAGTTAAGAACAGAAGAAGATAATATATGATTTCAGATCAGGAAAGGCATGTATCAGGGTTGTATCCTTTCACCATATATGCTCAATCTATCTGCTGAGTATATAACCCAAGAAACTGGACCATATGAAGAAGAATATGGAGGAAGACTCATCAACAATCTGGGTTATGCAGATGATACAACTTTGCTTACTGAAAATAAAGAATAAAATTTGAAGCACTTATTGAAGAATTTCAAAGACAACAAACAGTATTCAGTTTGGATTCTATCTCAACATGAAGGAACCAATCCTCACGACTGGGCCTTTAGCAACATCAATATAGATGGAGACAAGATTGACACTTTCAAGTGTTTCATTTTACTTGGATCCACAATGAACCTCCATGGAAGCAGCAGTTAAGAAATCAAAAGATGGCTTGCATTGAAGAAATCTTCTTTCAAGGGCTTCAAAATGCCATAGATTACATTGTTATTCTTGTCGTGTGCCATCAAGGCAGAACCATCTCATAGCTGACCCACCAGTGGGTTTTTAGAGGCTGGAAATTGCATGAGAAGAGATTGCAGTCTTTCTCCTGCAGAGCAGCCGATGGATTCAAACCACATGCCTTTGGTATGGTGGTGTAACTCCTTACCACCAGACCGCCATGACTCCAATGCATGTTTGTCAGTTTAATAATGAAGGTGTGCCCGATCCAAGCCCTGATAGTTTCAGTTGCTTCATATATATCTGAAAGTTGGACTATAAATAAGGGGGACCAAAGAGTAATTAATGCCTTTAGATTGTGGTGTTTGCAAAGAGTAGTATTCAGTCATCCAATGGACTGCCAAGAGAACAAACAAGTCTGTCTTGGAGGAATGCAACCAGGGTGCTCCTTAGAGGCAAAGACGGTAAGACTTCATCTCACGTACATTGGCCATGTGATCAGGATAGGCCAGTCCCTCGAAGGGAACATTATTTGGAAAGGTGGAGGGTCAGAAAAGGAGAGAAGGACCCTCAATAAGATAGATTGACACAGTGAGTACAACAGCGGGAAGGTTGTATAATGCCAGGAGAGATTGTGAAGATGTCACAGGATCAGGCAAGATTTCCATCTGTTGTGCATAAAGTAACGGGGAGTCAGAGTCAAGCTGATGGCACCAAACAACAACAAATAGTATCTTATTATGATTTTAATTTTCCTTTTCCTAAATCCACCAGTTTATCCTTGGGAGGAAGATTCACAACCTCTGAAAATACACTGGAGGTTTAGCTGAGTCAGTTCTAACAACTAACATGAGGTTGTTATTGTTGTGCTGTCAAGTCGGAAGCAACCCACAGCTGACCCTCCAGCAGGTCTTCAGAGGGAGGTAGTCATGTGGAAGAAGACTTCCCAGTCTTCTTCTGCAGAGCAGCTGATGGATTCAAACCACACACCTTTGGGGTGTGTGTAGCTTATCACTCGGCCACCATGAATTACTGTTAAATGACTAATGGGCATCTTTTCACATGCTTATTTGACATCCACTTACATTCTTAGGTTAAATTTCTGTTCAACTCTTTTGCCTATGCTTTTTAAATTGGGATTTTTGTTTATTGAGTACTGAGAGATTTTTATTCTGAATGTAATCCTTTTGCCAGGTGCACTGTAAATCTTTTCTCTCAGTCTGTGATTATTCTTTTTGCTCCTTGGAGGCAAGGATTCTGAGGCTCCATCTAACATCCTTTGGACATGTTGTGAGGAGAGACCGGTCTTTAGAGAGGGACATCATGCTTGGGAGGGTGGAGGGACGGCGCAGGAGAGGAAGGCCCTCTATGAGGTGGATTGATTCAGTGACTGGGGTAATCGGGATGGGAGTGTCGGAGACAGTGCGATTGGCACAGGACAGAGTGGAGTTTAGGGCTGTTGTACATAGGGTCGCTATGAGTCGCAGGCGACTCGACGGCACATAACAACAACAACAACATCCTTTTCATTATCTTTTACAGAAATTTTCCATTTTTGGTCAGATTATACTTTTTTTTTTTTTAAATATGTCATGGTTTTAGTATCATGTATGAGAACTCTTTACCTAATAAACCATTTTTTTCTCCCAGAAGTTTTATAGTTTTAAGTGTTAAACTTAGGTTTATGATCTATTATGAATTAATTTTTATAGTATAAAATATGGGGCAAGGTGTTTTGGTCTTTTGCTTGTTTGCACATGGCCATCCACTAATCCCAGCCCTATTTGTTGTGTTATCCTTCTCCCTTGAATTGCCTTTGCATCTCTAAAAAATCAACTGACCTTGGATGTGTTGATCTATTTCTAGACTCAGTTTTGTCCTGTTCTGTTAATCACAGTGTCTATCCTTTTGCAAATTCACACTACTGTCCTAAAAGCAAGTAGTGTAAGTCCTCTTAACACCTTCAAAATTGTTTTAGTCTTTCTCGGTCCTTTGCTTGCCATGTGAATTTTAAAAATATCAACCTCCTCTCATGCAATTTACTGCCTTTGAAAACCTGCTGGAGCATCAGCTATGAGTCAGTTCCAACTCAAGACCGAACAGCAACAACAGCATCATCCCTCAGAAGAAACTATCCAGCCAAGATTTCAATTAGGAATGTGTTGAATCTCTAAATTATCCTTGGGTGAGGTTATGAACTGATATCTTAACAATATTGGATCTTATAACCCATTTATGGTAGTCTTCTTAATTAATATAGTTGGATTTTAATCCAAAAGTAGGTGAATTCTGAGGAGCATAGCTGGGTTCCATCACTTTGATTGTACTAATATTTAAGGAAGAGGTATAAATGTTATTCAAGTGCCACCTTCAACACTTTGTATAAGATTTGTTAATGGGTGAGTTAGAAGGTAAATAGTTACTAAGTAAGAAAAGAGTCCACACATAAGGATTAGGCAGAACTGGCTTTGGAATCTGGGTTGACTATTTGTTAGCAATCTTATGTAGGCTAGATTGAGTAGTTTTATAGGCTTGGGGTTTTTTCTTGTTACTATAAAGCAAATTACTCTTGTATAAGAGTCAAAACAGACTCATAGCTAACCCTCCAGTGGGCTTTTAGAGGCAATAGATTGCATGGGAGGAGACTTTTCATCTTTCTCCCATGGAGCAGCTGGTGGATTTTAATTACTACTTAGTAAAAGAAATTTATTAGAGTTTAAATGGCTATCAAATAATGTAACCTGAATAAGAAACAATTCTAAAGCAGATACATAATAGGCGTTCAGTTAGTAGTTATGTTTGTAATTATTGTTTCATTGTTGTATGATAATATAATCACTATCTATGTAGCACTTTCCCATATAATAATGAAAACAACTCTCTTGAGAATGTACCAGCTAATTAAAAGATTGTTAAACCACAGCCTAATGACCATCCTGAAGAGATTTCCCAATATTCTTCAAAACAAACATCCTAGGCAGATCAAGTACATGAACTTCAGATCTCTTAAGTTATGTAGAGAAAAAAATAACATTCTATAAAAAAGTCTTAAAAAACAGAAGTCTTGTAAAGAAAATCAAAGACTCAAGTAAACACTCAGTCCTGAGGACTAATGGACCACAGTGTCTACTACTCTGAGACCAGAAGGACTTGATGGTCCCACAGCCAACTGCTCTGACCGGGATTACAACAGAAGATCTTGAGTAGAATAGGAGGAAAATGTAAAATAAATTCAAAATCACAGAAGCCAAATTTACTAGCCTGATAGAGGCTGGTATAATTCCCAACACTGTGGTCCTTAGATACCCTTCAAACTTGAAACTCACCCAACCCTGATTATCCACTTTGCAAACAAATACATCTATGAAATAAACAGTAGTAATACTAGTAAAGAGCATAATCTCCAAAACAGTTAACCATATAAGACAAAAAAAAAAAGCATTTGTCCAAAAACAAAACATAGAAGGTAAGAAGGACCAAGAAAGAAGGCTGAATGGAGATGAGGAGGACTCAGACCTACCCTTTAAATGAAAGACCTGAGCACTGTTCATAGAGTTTCCAGAGGCAAGCCATTTCGGAAGTGGATGCTACTCCTATGTCCAAGCTTATTTTAATAGGGAAACTCCACCAAACACTGTCCACCATGGGTAACCATTATTGCATTTGACACATCAGTGTGACAGTGTTTAGCATCACAGCAACCACGAGTTTCCTCTGGACAGCAATGCACAGACCAGTGCTATACCACCTAGAAGAATGTTTGACAAAAAAACAATTTGACCCAGGCCTGAGGGCCGCAGATTAAAATCACCCACCTTGGGCTTAGTAGCATAACTTTCTGTCCACTAGGCCAACACAGCGCTCTCTATGTTGTGATTGTTGTTGTTGTTAGGTGCCATTGAGTTGTAGATGACTCATAGTGACCCTGTGTGTGTGTGTGTGTGTGTAATTTATAATAAAAGTATATATATTTATATTATTTTATGTATATATAATTAATTTACCCTGTAAACGTTTACCCAGACCATTTATTTAAAAGATGTTTTTCAGCTGTTTAAATTTTAAAGTCAAAGCTGACTTGCTCGTTACATCTGAAATGCTTTTGATTCCTAATATAGACTTTCAGAGCAGCAGAGCCTCCATAGGAGATGTTCTCTACATGTCACAGAAATAGAGGCAGGAGTTGATAACAAAAATAAAGTCCTTTGAGCATTTCCAAGTCTGTCTGCATTTTCATGACGCCCTTGCTACCTTTCCTAAAGATATCTAAGCACCGTTTGTTTTGCCCTGCTGGCCCGCTGTGTTTTAGTGCCTGCCCAAGTGACTGGCTTGCATGTGGCCAACCAAGGGACCACCAGCAGTCTGTTTACTAACTGGACCCGAGCTCTGGGAGACATTGATTTCTACCAAGTTTTACTGATCCATGAAAACGTGGTCATCAAAAATGAAAGCGTCCCCAGTGACACCAGTCAATACAGCTTCCACTCCCTCAAATCTGGCAGCCTCTACTCCGTGGTGGTAACAACAGTTAGTGGAGGAATCTCTTCACGACAAGCTGTGGTCGAGGGGAGAACAGGTAAGAGGTAGAAGTTTGTCCTTCTAACCTACAGAGGTCTGAGCATATGCAACCCCAAAACAGGATGTTCTGTAATTTTTGTCCAGACTTGGAGAGATACTTACAGATGCTTAAAAGAGCTACAGAGAGCAAGCTTTCTCCTGGAGCCAGCACTATGATTTATACTTCAAGCTTCCTAAAAGATCCATTTCTCTGTTAAAGTCATCCACACGTTGTAGTCAGGATGAGCTAGTCCTAGGGGGAAAAACATCATTTTGAAAAAGTTAAGGGTCAGAGAAAGAGAGGAAGACCCTCTAAACAAGGTTGAGTTACATGGTTATTGTAACAATGGGCTCGAGCTGTAGAGTCGCTGTGAGCTGTAGCCAACTCAGTGACACATGACAACAAACAATAACAAAACACATATAGCTAAAGAACAACTTGAAGACATTCATGTCTTATCCATGTTTGATATGTGGAAATATAGTAGGTTCTAAATAAGGTTTTGTGGCACTAAGCTCCCACTGAAACTGCCTCAGTAACTAGCTTCGCTAACCGTTGGAGCAGGTTCTAGACTTCTAGCTGCTAAGATGGAATTCAGGCTCGCTTTTTGCCACTAGAGGGCGGGAAGCACTTTGCAAAGGAAAACACCACTAGTAGTTGTATTAGTTACTAGATTCCCCAGAGAGAAACAACTTTACCATATGACAAAAAAAAAGAATTTTTTTAAAAATCATCTCCAAGTCTTAAGATTTTTCTAAAAAGTCTTGCCTTCTTTGCCTTTATCTTAAAATACTCTTGCTTTTTTGATGTGTTTGATTCTAATTGTGGATTACTACAATGGTGGTTTCTCTTCCTACCACCTTTACATAAATTTGCTTCCATTTTAAAATATTTTACAAACAGCAACCCCATGATTCTGCAGTAGCAACATCCTTGTATGCTTAACGCCATCTCCTTGCATTTTTATTCAGCACCGTCTTCTGATGGAAGAACACATAGCTAAAGTGAAATCCTAGCACTTTCTTTATGTAATCAAATGAGATTGCCTGAGACCCTACTATTTTTGCTGACCGAGAGAAAGCATTCAAGCTTTTGATTGTGCTTTGGTTTTTAATTTCTTTTTCTTTCTTCCTTTTCAAATGGCAGTTCCTTCCAGCGTGAACGGGGTCACAGTGAACAATTCCGGCCGTAATGACTACCTCAGCATTTCCTGGCTGCCAGCCTCCGGAGACGTGGATAACTATGTGGTGACACTCTCACATGACAAGGTGGTTCAGTCCCTTCTAATTCCAAAGTCTGTCAGTGAATGTTCCTTCAGCTCCCTCACTCCAGGCCGCCTCTACAATGTGACCATAACCACCCAGAGTGGCAAGTATGAAAATCATTCTTACAGCCAAGAACGGACAGGTAAGCACGTATGGAGATTCAGAGCTCCCTAAGATTCCAACTAGTCATGTGGACCAAGGCATCATAATCTTGTTATTGTTGTTCTTGTTAGATGCCATTCAATCTACTGCAACTCACACCAACCCAGACCCTTGCCCTATCCTGCACCATTCTCACTATATTTGACTTGCTTGAGTCCATAGTTGCAGTCACTGTGTCAGTCCTCGCTGAGGGTCTTTCTCTCTTTTACTGACCCTCTGCTTCTTTAAGCATGACGTCTTTTTCATGCTACCTTTTTTCTAGTCCCTCCTGACAGCATGTCCTAAGTATGTGAGATAAAGTTTTACCATCCTTAATGATGAGCACCTTGATTGTATTTCCTGAAAGACAAATTTGTTTGTTCTCTGGGACATCAATTCTTCTTCTGTCTTCCTTATTCATTGTCCAACTTTCAGATGCATATAAATGTTATGTACTGTCGAGTCGCGTGTGACTCATAGCGAACTTCTAAAATGTGCCCTGTCCTGAGCTAGTCTCATGGACTCCGACACACCTACCCCGATTTCCCCAGTTACTCTATCAATCCATCTCATCTAGGATCTTCCTCTTCTGTGCTGTCCCTGTACCCTTCCAAGCATGCTGTCCTTCTCCAAAGACTAGTCCCTCCTGGCCATGTCCCCAAAGTATGTGAGACGGAGCTTTAAAAGCCTAACCTCCAAGGAGAAACTTGGTTTCACCCTCTCCACAACAGACCTGTTTGTTTTCCTCATGACTATTCTCCAGCACCACTACTCAATTCTTCTGTCATGCTTAGTCATTTTCCAGGTCACTGATAAAACATCACATGGCTATTGGGGGGAGGGGGGACAACAAAACACTAACAAAAGAAACCAAAGCTTATGATAGGATTAAAAGCAACTGAGATCACGAAAATGTTATGATCTTTTTCTATTTTGACCAAAAAAAATTTCTATATGAGCAGATGTTACACTTAGAATAAAATGAGCACAGCTTTCATAGCTAGAACTCACGTTATATTCAAACATGCTCCACTTCATGGAGAAGTTAACTAAAATGAATGAAATGTTACTAGTACTGAATTAGCTTCTTGTCCCTTGAAGTGATCATGTTTTATTCCATTGTTGTAACTGTTGAGTCAATTTAGCTCATTAAGGAATTCCCTCATTTTTCCTGATATTCAACTTTTTTTCAGGCATGAAATCCTTTCCTAATGATTGCTTTCCCCTGGGGATTTGTTCAAACTAAGCAAGTAGGAGCCTGGCCATTCTTGAATTTAAGAAACAATTTTGATGGTATTTCTTCTAAGATTGATTTGCTCAGTCAGTATTCTTCACCAACACAATTCAAAAGCATCAGTTTTTCATCTGCCTTCATTGTTATTGACCGAAAATCCCATGCATTGAAAAGACCATGGTTTGGGTCAAGTGCACCTTAGTCATCAAAGTTACATCTTTGTTTTTCAAAACTTTAAAGATGCCATATGTGTCACATTGTCCAATGCACCACATTATTTTATTTCCTGACCACTGTTTTGTAAGAAGAATTATTAACCAATTTAATTTTTTCTTTTATATTTAAGTATAGAAAAAAAATGTTTTCATTTAAGAATCCGCATCTCACACAATACACAAAAATCAACTCAAGGTGGAACAGAGACCTGGGTGTAAAGCCCAAAACCATAAAGTTTGTAAGAGACAAACTGGGATCAAGCTTAGAAGAACTAGCCTGTGCTGTAAAGAGACTGCCAAGTACAGCCAGAAATGCACAATATGGAGAGGATAAAATTAATGAAAGGGATCTTCTAACTATTAAATCCCTGTGCACATAAACATTTTTTTTCCTATAGGGATTTGGAAGCAAATCCACTTCCTAAACAATATACCTCTGGAAACTCTATGAACTTTGATAAATGTCGGTAAATATAGAAAGGCTTCAGGCCTTTTGTTCAAAGGTTCTCTATGAGTCGTGGTCAACTCAATGGCAATCAACAATAACAACAAAACCTACCAACTGGGAAAAAAAACATTTGACAATACCATCTTAGACAAAGGTCTCATAACAAAAGTTTACAGAAAACGACTGAGGCTCCAGAAGAAAAAGACTGATCATCCAATTACAAAATTGGCAAAAGACATGGAAAGACTTTTCACAGGAGAAGACATTCAGATGGCCAACAGACACATGAAGAAATACTCAACATCACTGGCAATAAGAAAGATGCACATCAAAGCCACAATGAATCTCATCCCAGTAGCAGTGACAAAGTTTAGCAGGGCAGCAAGCAATAACTATTGGGGAGAATGTGGAGAGGTGAGAACTCTCACACACTGTTGATGGGATTGTAAAATTATGTAATTACTCTGGAAGGCAGTTTGGTGTTTTTTCAAGACACTGAACATAGAAATTCCGTGTGATCCAGCTATTCCACTACCAGGAATATACCCCAAGGAAAGTAGAACTGAGACATAAATGGAGATTTGTACTCCAGTGTTCATAGCAGTATTATTCACTCTCACAAGAACATAGAAACAGCCCAAATGTCCAAACACAACTGAATAGATTGAGAAATTGTGGTACATTGACAGGATGGAATACTATGAAGCACTTAGGAGCAACAATTTTGAAAAATACTACTTAACTTGGGAGAGAATTGGAGAGTATTATGCTGAGTGAACTCAGTCTCATAAGGACAAATACTGTATATGACCACTATTGTAAAAATAGAAGGATAACTAGTAAAAAATATTTATGAGGTTTCTAGAGGAGAGGGGTGGGACTGGAGGGGTGAGGATGGGTAGGGGCAAAATCACAAGGTTACACAATTTGGTGGGTGGAAGGTGGGGGTAAAGGAAATAGGAAAGATCCAGTGGGAACTTGAAAAGACCGAGTAATGGTGGGCATAATCCAATGGTGGCTCCTTTTATAAAACACAATGTATGGGAATGATTATATGAAACATAATGTCAATAAAGGAAAGGGGGGGATTTTTTTTCAATTAAAAAATTTTCTAAATTTTAAATGTTTCTATTTAGGAGTGCTTATGCTGCTAAACTCTGACTTTTCCTATGTTAATGAACTAAATCCTTTATTAAGATAATAGTTACTATTATTCTCATTTTATAGATTAAAGATCCAAAAGGTTAAGTGATTTGCCCAGCTAGTTCATTTAGCTTGTTTAAATAGCCATTAAGTTTATATCCCTGAATTTAAATACAGTTCTAAGTGACTCTGGAATCTGCTAAGCTCTGTCCTAAAATCACTCCTGAAATAAGACCTCATTCCTTTTTACACATAGTGAAAATGTGAATCTTCGTGGTTCTGGACCTTGGGAGCAAAATTTTGGCAAAAGTAATTAATACCAGTGCTTCAATATACTGAGAAAAACTAATTCTAGAAATACACTATTATAGTGTTTATAGAGTTGAGATTTTTGATTAATATTGCCATCGGTGTTTTGTTAAATATTCCTTCCTGAGCTATAGGCTCATTTTTGGATCTTAAAGTGAGTTTTTCCATGAGGATCTGAAATACTGGGCATCATCCTATAACCTAGCACGGTGCTCAGAGCAAGGAAGGCATTCAATAGCTGTGTGTGAATGGTTGTCTGTGGTGATTGGCTGCTAACTCACAGGCTCCTACTCTTTCAATCTGCCAGCAGTCCTATGAGAGGGAGATGAGTAGTCTCCTGCCATTGCAGTTTACAGGCTTGGAAACACAGTGATGGATTATTGCAAGTAATAATCGACTAGATAGCAATGAGTTTTGAGGATAATCAGAGATCACTTCAATGAAGAATTCCCACTTAGTGGTTACTGAGAGGATTTTAAAGAAAGTAATCAGGAGCAACGGTGTCTCTCTGGAGACTAAGGTGCACCTGATACAGGCCATGGTCTTTGCAATCACTTGTTAATGCATCAGAGAGTTGGACAATGACTAGGGAGGACAGAAGGAAAACTGATGCCTTTGAGCTGTGGTGCTGGAGAAGAGTATTGAATGTCTGCCAAGAAAACAAACAGATTCATCCTGGAGCGGGTTAAACCAAGCTACTCCTTGGAGGCAAGGATTCTGGGGCTTTGTCTGACGTACTTTGGGCATGTTGCAAGGAGGGACAGGTCCTTGGAGAGGGACATCATGCTTGGGAGGGTGGAGGTCCGGCGCAGGAGGGGAAGACCCTCTATGAGGTGGATTGATTCAGTGACTGGGGTAATCGGGATGGGTGTGTCAGAGGCAATGAGATGCACACAGGACAGAGCAGGGTTTAGGGCTGTTGTACATAGGGTCGCTATGAGTCGCAAACAACTCGACGGCACATAACAACAACAACAACGACATCAACCCCTGAAATTGTCCATAAAGTTGTGTGGACTGGGGAAGGTATGTGCCTTTCCCTAGGAGAGAGGCCCATGGTTTTTATGATTCTCGTATGTTCTGATGAGTCGTCCACCAATCCTGAAGCCACATTCTTCTTCATAGAATCTAGCTTCTCTTATAATTTGTTCAGCATACATATGAAACAGGTATGGAGGGATACAACCTTGACATACACCTTTCTTGATTTTAAACAATATGGTTTTCCTTGCTCTATTTGCACAGTAGCCTCTTAGGTCTAAGTATAGGTTTCACAAAAGCACAGTTAAATGTCTGGATTCCCATTCTTCTCAATGTCAGCCTTAATTTGTTGTGAGACACACAGTCAAATGACTGCATAATTTATAAAACATAAATAGACATTCTGTGTTCTCTGATTTCAGCCATGATCTATCTGACATCAACAATGATATCTCTGGTGCCATGGCCTCTTCCAATCCATCTTGAATCTCTGGCACTTCTCTGTCAATGTCCTGTTCTAGCCATCTATTATATATACAATATTCAGCAAGATTTTACTTGCATGTGATATTAGCTATATTGTTTGGTACTATCCACATTCTGCATTATGTAGACGGTATAACCTTGCTTGCAGAAAATGAAAATGATTTGTAACACTTGCCATAGCTTATTACTGACTACACCCTTCACTATGGATTACATCTTATAGCCTTCAGTATGGATCACATCTCAGCATTAAGAAAACAAAAATCCTCACTCCTGGATCAGTCAGCAGTATTGTGGAGAAAAGACTGAAGTTTTCAACCGTTTAATCTTTCTTGGATCCATAATCAAAACCCTTGGTACCAGCAGTCAAGAAATCAAAAGACACATTACACTGAGGAAATCTGCAGTCAGGGAACTCTCCAAATGGCTAAAGAGCAAAAAAAAAAAAAAACCAGTTTAAAATCCGTAGTGTGCCTGATCCAAGCTGTGGTCTTTTCAGCTGGACAATGTAAACGGATGTGAAAAGAATGGATGCCCTTGATGTGTGGTATTGGAGAAAAATACTGAATATCCCAAGGACTGCCAAAAGAACAAGCAAATATGTCTGTCTGGAAGAAAGTGCAACTAGGATGCTCCTTTAGAGGCAAGGTTGAAAAAACTTTGTCTCGAATATATTAGGCATATTTTTAGGAGGGACCAGTCTTTGCAAAAAGACATTATGTTTGGAAAGGTCAGCAAAGGACAGGAACACTTACTTCAACAAAATGGATTGACACCGTGACTTTTTTAATTAGCTCAAGTATATCAGAGATGGTGTGGATGGCACAGGACTGGGAATGTTCAGATCATAGCAATGCTATGAGTCATAGTCAACTCAGTGGCACTTATCAACAACCACCACCATGTAATTTGAGTCCAGACATGTAAGAAACATTGATTTGCGTTGTTACAGTGTGCTGACTTGTTGCTGTCGAGTTGGTTCTGAGTCATCATGACCCTCTTTCGGGTTTCTGAGGTAAATCGCAAGTGGAGGAAGTTACCCATCTTTCTACTCAGAATGACTGATGGCCTTAAGCCACAAGGAAAGTGAAGCCTTTGGGTTGGTAGTGTAACTCGCTCTGGACTATACCGCCAGAGTTCCTTAAAGCATGCTAGCATTCTTAAAATGCTGTAATTCCCTCTCTGTTGTAAGAGAAATCAGATCTCAGAAAGTATGCCTTCTCCAAGGACTTGTCTAACAGCTATCAGAGTTAGGCCCAGATCAATGCTAGGCCCATTCCAACACCAGTTGCTGGAAAGTCAGGTCCAACTCATGGTGACTCAGATGTGTTAGAGTAGAGCTGTGTGCTAGAGATTTTTCCAATGGTTCGTTTTTTTGAAGATTGCCAGGTCTTTCTCCCTAGACTATAACTGCCTACATTTCCTTTATCACCCAAGTATGTTAAGGACCGCTCCTAAATGCTAAAGAGCAATGGTGTCAGTTTACAGATTAAGGTGTGCCTGATCCAAGCTATGGTCTTTTCAATTACTTGCCATGGTTTTGAAGGTCCATGGGAAGTAATAGTGCATGTATCAACCAGGGACTCTACTACATCATATTATTTTTAAACACACTAACTGGAAATATAAAGAGATCATCATCACCTTGTGATAATTTGAAGTTTAATCATGCTGATCGTCACAATAATGACTTTGACTTACAAAGTCCATTTACAAAATAGCCTCGTGTCAGTGTTTCATGGTAATCAACTTAGAGCCTAAAAAATCACCAAGAATTGAAAGATATGCGAAGCCTCATACTTCCCATCAGCATCTGTTCACAAATGTTTCTTACCCACAAACTTTCATACTATAAAACCTTTTGTGAAGGTTGTTTTAAAATGATATTTTATTCAAAGTATCCTCCGAGCTCTCTAACCAGCATAACTTGGACTTGGTTCATAAGTAATTGAGGCAAACTGTTGCCCCCCAACGAATCAATTTAATTGGAGATTCATGTCTAACTTACTGTCCTGTTAATTTTGGCTTATTATCTTAATGTCTTCTTCTTTTCCAAATGCTCTCATTCTGCGCTTGGGTGACAATGCCAATACTTCTCATCCTGTATACGTTATCTCACCGTGCACCAAAGCAAGTCTCACAAATTGCCTCTCTTTGCACCTGGACAACCCCTATTGACTTAGCACGGCACACAGCTGAGTTTATTCTTTTTGTTGCTTCTCCTTCAGTAAAATACCCTGGATCACTGAGCTTTCTTCATTTATGCAGAGGGTCATTTTAGAATTCTTCTTGTTAGTTCTGTGATGTCTAAAATCCAGCCAACATATAACTGATTTTAGGTAACGATCATGAAGAAAGCATGCTTGTTAGTGCCCCACATCTTTTGTAAGATGTATACCCATACAGAAACGAGTCAGTCAGTGAGCATAACATGGAATAATTGTGCAAGTCCTAAGTGTGAAAAAATTTTTATTTCGATGCAAGCTACTAACATTTCTGGATCATTTCATGATTTGAGGGAAAACAGAAGTGAAGACTCATACACAGCTTTGCATCTGGTCAGAGCAGAAATCCCTCAGCATCTACTAAACACAGACCAAGATATTACAGAACACACGCTATTTAAAACCTGTGTTTAGTTTTCTTTGGACCTGTGTTCATATGTCTTCTCAATGATCCATTTCATGAGTATTTCTAATATCCAACTATAACCAAATAGTGAACATATGCACTGCTGTAGAATTGAAAAATAGTCCCAAATGAAAAGTTGGAATATTCTAATGTTGTAGACTTGGAGAGGGTGCAGCCAGAGTGCTCTTTGAAGGCAAGAATGATGAGGCTTTGCCTCACATACTTTGGCCGTGCTGCTAGGAGGGGCTATTCCTTAAAGAAGGACATGATGCTGGGAAGGGTGGAGGGTTGGCGAAGAAGGTGGGTTGAACTAGGTGGGTTGACACGGTGACTACTGCAATATAGGCTTTTGTGTGTCAGAAAGTGTGAGGATGGCTCAGGATAGAACAGGGTTTAGGTCTTTCATTCATAGGGTAGCTATGAGTTGGACTCAACTCCATCACACCTGACAGTAACATCAATGTTGTTGTAATGTACCAGACTGACTCACAGCTGACCATCCAGCAGGTTTTCAGAGACAGTAAACTGCATATAAGGAGGTTGCCCACCCTTCTGCCACCAAGCAACTGGTGGATGAGAGCTGCATGTTTTGGGGTTGGCAGCAGAATTCCTTAAAACTTCTACGTTGTTGGGTTTCTTTGAGTCAGTACCAACTCCTAGCTCACCCTCGAGTGGGTTTTCAGAGGCAGTAAATCATAGAGAAGATTGTCTGTTCTTCTCCCATGAAGCATCTGGTGGATTAGAACCACGTGCTTTTTGGGAATTACAACACAGGATCTTACTACTAAACCACCAGAGCTCCCTCATTACTATAGTTGTGTACCATTGAGTTGGAACCAACCCACAGCCAACCCTCTGGCAGGTTTTCAGAGGCAGTTAATCACATGGGAGGAGAGTGCCCATTCTTCTCCCGTGGAGCAACTGGTGGATTTGAATGGTATGCCTTTGGAATTGCAGCACAATCAGCGCTAGACCATCAGAGCTCCCTCCTGACTACGATAACTAAATCATGTTCTAAATATAGAATTGCTTTATCTTACAAAGAGCATTGAATCTTGGATACACAGAATTGTTTTTTTCTCTATGTGTTCGTTTGGAGGAGCACAGAATTGAACTAACCATAGTTCTTAGTTCAGAAAACCATTTACCCACTTTCACTTTTATTTAGTTAAGTATTTCGTTGATAATTTCTAATAATTTAATATGTATAGCAGAAACCACTACCTAAAATAAAAGCTAGGACCTTGACGTACTCTGCATTGAGTTATGTGATCTTTCACCTCACTAGCCCATCCCAAGGTCAACATCATGTTTGTTCCAATGTTCTTCTTTCCTTTGCTCTCTACCTTACATGGTTTCATAGTTTCTATATATTATCCTAAAGTAATAGATTGTTAACTTTTACTGGTTTTTCATAATATGCAAAGATATTTTTTATGTAGTATGCGATCTATTGGGACTTAGATTTTTTTTAAACTTAATGTTATATTGATAGGATTCATTTATAGTTTAATTTTTATGTTAAGGGGAAAATCTGTATTTTGTGCTTTGAGTTAAGAGTAAGAAGTCAATCAAATACTATGTTTGATTTTATATCTTACTGTTTATATTTAACTTTATTCATCCGATTGCCAGTGGATGGACATCTTCTCCCATAATTTATTTAGAAAGCAATTTAAGGAGGTGGTGAGGGGAAATGGTATTTCCACAGTAGTCTTGACTTGTATTTTCTTGATCATCAATACTACTGGACATTTCTTCTTCTGTTTTTCTTTTGAATTGTTTACACTCTTTGGGGTAATTTTTACACATCTTGAGTCACCAAGGTATGCTGGAATTATTAATCTAATCACTATCATTCCTATTAATCATCAGTTATGTTTAATGATCCATCTTGAACATGACATTTTGTGTAGACAAATGACAGGATTAGAGTGAATTCATTAGGTTGTTAAAAGATTCATTTAATCACTTTTAGCAGTGAAACAATATTTTCCCTCCAGAAATTTGTGATCTACAGTTCTAATATGTTTCTTTTAAATGCACATATGAAAAATTTATTGATATTACCTCATCTTAGCAGTTGTCATCTATGATCTATTACCCACTCAGATTAGTGAATATTTAGCTCTTCCACATTCTTTCTTTCAGTGCCTGACAAGGTCCAAGGAGTTAGTATTAGCAACTCAGCCAGAAGTGACTATTTAAAGGTATCCTGGGTGCATGCTACTGGAGACTTTGATCATTATGAAGTCACCATTAAAAACAAAAACAACTTCATTCAAACCAAAAGCATTCTCAAGTCTGAGAACGAGTGTGTCTTTGTTAAGCTAGTCCCTGGGCGATTGTACAGTGTCACAGTTACAACAAAAAGTGGACAATATGAAGCCAGTGAACAAGGCAATGGAAGAACAAGTAAGTGAAATGATTGAAAAATCAAATGGCTGATGGGAGCGTGAAGGTCATAAAGTAATTATTTATCTGAAGTTCTTCAGCTTACTGATCAATTACTGATAAATTGCATTCTGATTAAGTTTCACCTGGAGCTAATATCATTCAACTAAGTCATGGCCTGTAATTACAGAATATTTATTAGCCAATAAAAGCAAACAGAGTGTCAGAACAAGAATAGCTATTTCATTTTTCTTCCAGACCTTCAGCATTTTGGCGTTTAAAGTTCTAAATTTCTTGTTTTATCTCATGATTGAGATTATAACTCAACTTAGAATTATATTCTATTCTCCCAACATTTATTGTTGTTGTCTGATGTTATTTTTGTTAGCCAGAACTGGCTTATAACCAACCCTCTGACTGGTTTTCAGCGGCTGTAAATCACATGAGAGGAGATTGCCCATCTTTCTCCCAAGGAGCAGCTGGTGGGTTTGAATTTAGTGTAAGATTTAGGTCAAGGAAAATTTGAATTTTTAATAGTTGCTTCCAATTTCTCTTCTTTAACTATGTATGACGTAGTTTAAGTGCTTTATTTAGGGAAGCAAGATGTGTGCCAGTCCCTTGAAGAATGTGTCATAAGTTATCATGCGTGTAAACTGTGAAGTTTATTTTTCTGATGTGTTTTCACCTTTCTTCTTCAGTCCCTGAGCCAGTTAAGAATTTAACACTGCGGAATAGGAGTACCGAGGACCTGCAGGTAACCTGGACACTAGCTGATGGGGATGTCGACCAGTATGAGATCCAGCTGCTCTTCAATGACATGAAAGTATTTCCTCCTTTTCACCTTGTAAATACTGCAACTGAATATCTATTCAGCTCCCTTACACCAGGGCGCCAGTACAAAATCCTCGTTTTGACCATCAGTGGAGATGTACAGCAATCAACCTTCATTGAGGGCCTAACAGGTAACTGGAAATCTGGGTTCTTGAACACAAATAGATACACGTGTGTATTTAGCACATAGGTGTTTTGAATGATGACTGAGAAGGGGAAAAGAAATGGCAAAGGGGTTGAATTTCTTTTAACTGTGACAATTGTCTAAACTAGATTAGCAAAAGTAAAGAACAATGTGGGTAGGGGCAAAGAGCTTTACAGATAATACAGAGAAATAGCATTGAATTCATGTGCATAGCTGGTGCTTGTCAGACATAAAGATTAAGACATGCGAATAACTATTGCTTGAATATCACTTTTCTATCATAGTAAAGTTATTGATGGGTTGCCACAAATGTTACCTAAAGAAAAAAAAACTTCCAATGGCCTTTTATTCAGTACTTAAAACTCCATGACCATCATTACAATTTTTTCCCCTAATAACAAAGATGAAACTGAGAGAGGTTAAGTAATCTCAGAGCTAGTAAATAGGAAATCAAGACATGACCCAAGGCAGTCTGACCACCCACTAGCTTTTTCCTGTGCATTCTTCATAGTTATTCAATGATTTTGGTCTCCCTCTAAACTTCTCAACCAACTTCGATTCTGGCAGAAAAGTCAGGGAAAAGTGGCAAATGGATATTGTTTTTCATGTGTGTTCTTTCAGTAGATGCAGAAATATGAGAGACAAGAAAATTGTAGGCTGAAAATGTCCATATCATATTCTCACTGATGGCTTTTAAATGTGTTTTCTTTTTCAGTTCCTAGTGCTGTCAAAAATATTCACATCTCTCCCAATGGGGCAACAGACAGCCTGACAGTAAACTGGACACCCGGTGGGGGAGATGTTGATTCCTACACAGTGACAGTGTTCAGGAAGAACCAGAAGGTCGAGTCCCAGACTATCCCCAAACACGTCTATGAGCACACGTTTCACAGACTGGAGGCTGGGGAGCAGTACCAGATTGTGGTGACCTCCATCAGCGGGTCCCTGACAAACCAGATTGATGCACTCGGGAGAACATGTAAGCGTCAGCCTGGAGACTGGACAAATTACACAATGCTTCATAGTTACTGTGATGGGGCACTTAACAAGTTTTGCTATTTTTTCTCATACAAAAAAATATCCAAATTAAAAAACTATCTCAATTTGTATAGTTCAATGCACTTCCCACAGCCTTTCTCATATTTTCCTTTTAATTTTTTTAGTAGTTGAGATTTTTCTTTTTTTTATTTGTAATGCTACTTTTTATATTAAAAGAAATTATACATATTGCAATAGAAGTTCATTGAAATGATGTTCTTAAAAGGAATTCTTTTTTCAAATTTATAGTCATTTATATGGTTTGTCAGGTAAAAGCTATTCTAAATCACTGAATTACAGTGTTTCAGTTGTAATATATTTTATAACAAAATGGAGATTTTTCAAAGGAGATTTTCATTTAGAAACCAAACCAATAAACCATCCTTTCTAAAAAAGCATTTTTTTACTCTTATTAGTTACTGTTCTCTAGCAAGTATTTAATACTTTTGCCATCGTAAGAAGCTGTACTGCAATCCCAAAGGCACGAGGTTCAAATCCACCAGCAGCTCCACAGAGGATAGGCAATCTCCTCCCATGCAATTAACTGCCTCTGAAAATCCACTGGAGGGCCAGCTGTGAGTCCACTCCAACTAGACAGTACACAATAAAAACAATGATAAAGTATATACTTGGGGCATCTGTTTGACTTGTCACAAAGAGCAATTAAAAATAATGAATAATCATGATTTCTTTTTATAATACTAGTTTATTTACAAAATTCAAATGCATTGATTTATGGAGTTGTTGTTTTGTTTGGTGCCACTGAGTCAGTTAATTACAACTCATAGCAACACTGTGCACAATAACACATTTGAACGCCGTCCTATCCTGTGTCATCCTCATTATTTCTGACACACTTGAGCCCGTTGCTGCAATCCTTGTGTCAATCCAGCTGGTTGAGGCTCTTCCTTTCTTTTGCTGGCCCTCTACCTTTCCAAGCCAGATATCCTTTCTCAAAACAAAATTCAGCTACAAGCATCTGCTTTATTCCAGACATTTGGAATTCTCTTTAGCTTTACTTCAAGGTAGACATCACTATGTGCATCTCACAGATGAGGAAAGCAGGACTCCAGAAGTCCATGAAATATGTTTGGATGGCATAGTTCATAGGGAGTCACACTGCTAACCCAGAGGCCACACATCTTTCTGGCCACTTGAATCCACTAGCCACTCCACAGGAGAAAGGCAGGCAAGCTCCTTCTGTGCCTTGGAAACCCAATGAAAGCTCAGCTAAGAGTTGGTTCTGTTTCCGTAGAAGTGAGATTTTGAGTTGTTGGTACCTAGGATACATGTGATAAGACCAAGAACCATAATCCAAATCTAAATCTTTCTGACTCAAAAACACATTTCTGTCTGCTCCATAACAATGGATTTTGGATGTCCTCAGTTCTCATGACCACTTGGGCTCCTCCTATGACTCTAATACTTGTTTGACCTCAAGTTTCTATCTAAATTCAGAGAAAACTGGAAACACTATTATCAGATCAAACCAAGAAATTTTTTTTTTCTTTTTCACCCAAAAGGGCATACAGAAAGTGTCAGGACAGAACAAATAAACCAGAAGCATCATTATCTACCTGCAGCTGATAGTTGATTCTTTTTCTTTGCAGTTCCAGCATCTGTCCAGGGAATAGCTGCAGATAATGCATACAGCAGTCATTCCCTAATAGTAAGTTGGCAAAAAGCTGCCGGTGTGTCCGAAAGATATGATATCCTGCTGCTAAATGAAAACGGGATTCTTCTGAGCAACACATCAGAGCCAGCCACTGCAAAGCAACATAAATTTGAAGATCTAACTCCAGGAAAGAAATACAAGATCCAGATCCTAACAGTCAGCGGCATTCTCTTTAGTAAAGAAGCCCAAACTGAAGGCCGGACAGGTAGGTGACACTGCTTATTGTTTTGTACATGATAGCTTTTCATCTGCTGGTTCATAAGAACCACATACTCAAAGGGATCAATGATAAGGTAACATCTTGAATAAAAATCTAAAAGTAAGAGGGGTCCTTCAGGTAACTGAGGTAGAAGATCTTAAGCAGAAGGAGAAGAAAGATGCTAGGACAAGAATGTCACTGGCCCTAGTGGAGAAACAGAAACCAGCATTGTTGGAATAGAGTGAAAACCAGAGTCGGGGAGATGTAAGCAGAGCATAACATGAGTCAGGAGGCAACTGCGGGTGGGGAGGGGGAATCATTGCTGTTGAGTTGTAACCAACTTGTTGCTGACCCTCCAGCAGGTTTTCAGAGGCTGTAAATCACCACCAACAAGCTTGCCCATCTTTCTCCTACGCAGCCACTGGTGGATTCAAACCACCAGAGAGACACACCAAGTCACTTTTGATTTAGCACTTTAACTCCCTACAGACTACACTAACTTCAGATCTGTATCATTTAGTTATAGGAATTATGACAATAGCCTAGTGGTAAGGAGCTACACTGTCAACTGAAAGGCACACGGTTCAAATTCACCAACTCCTCCATGTGAAAATTAGGGACAATCATCTAGCATAAAATTTACTGGCTCTGAAAATCTGCTAGAGGGTCAGCTATGAATCAGTTCCAGCTTGATGGTACACAAGAACAAAGCTAAACTAACACAGCTCCAGCTTCTGCAATTATATCTCTAAAATAGCATTTTAACAGCATAAATTGTTTTCTAATAAAAGACATTTCTCTATATCAATCTGTGCAACATGTTAGAAATAAAAGGTAAATACTTTCAGGGGAAATAATTAAAGTTCAGAAATAAATTTAAATAAAGATATTATTCAAATTAATAACAGATAATTAAAGAAAGGTCAGACCAATAGGGTCATAGCCTTTATCCTGCTGGAAGGATCCCCAGTCATCGTCCAATGCTGTGGTTGTGAGATGTGGAAAAATTTTAACACACCAGTAACTGAGTCTGTTCCAGACATGATAAATCAAGATCTCTGGGCACGCTGCCCTGGCATTGTACACTCTTTGTTGGTAGAAAATATGTCTGTAACAAAGCATTTGCCATTTCAACATTCTTCACATTGTGGGTTTGTTATTTTTCAAATTAACAGTTCAGCATCGGTAAAAAAACCCTCAGACTTAACTATTAACGAGTCAGAACCAACTCGTAGCTGACTCGTACCTGGTTCCCAGTGGCTACAAATCTCAGAAGAGGAGACTGCCTATCTTCCTCCAGTGGAGCGCTGGTGTATTTGAGCCATTAGAGAGAAGCTGCCTTGGAGTTAAAAGCGCAACTCCCTATGGGCCACATACCAGAGCTCCCTTCAGCATTCGTAGTCCACAGAAATTTGCAGTTCTTGCCCTTAGAATTCTGTTTAGTCAAAATTTCTTAAATGCTGGGACCATGCGTTTTTTAGGCAAAGGGTACTTGCTTAAAACATCAGCTTTTGGTACATCCCTAAAGACCTAACTCCTGGGCTGTGACAGGGACATTCCAAAGCGTGGTCTTACTTTCCTGCTCTTTGCCTTTTCCAGTCCCGGCAGCTGTCACCAATCTAAAGATCACAGAGAATTCCACCAGACACCTGTCCTTCAGCTGGACCACCTCAGAGGGAGAGCTCAACTGGTACAACATCTTTCTGTATAACCCAGATCGGACTCTTCAGGAGAGAGCGCAAGTTGACCCTCAAGTGCAGAGCTTCTCTTTCCAGAACTTACTACAAGGCAGGATGTACAAGATGGTGATTGTCACTCACAGTGGAGAGTTATCTAATGAGTCCTTCATATTTGGGAGAACAGGTAAGACCCAGACTCAAGCAGCTCTGTTTACTGGCTTTTCTTTCACTTGTTCTTAGCTCCCTCATCTGCCCAGGTTTACCTGCAGGTTGGCCTCTGAGTTCTCACTCAGACCTTTGAGAACAATAATAGTTTATAGCATATTTTTGCACTGGCTCTTTTGCTTCTAACCGCATGGAGTCCCTTTGGTGCTCCTTAGAGGCAAGGATCATGAAACTTCATCCCACATATCTCACATGTTTGGGGCATTTGTCAGGAGAGGCCAGTCCTGAGAAAAAGACCTCATGCTGGGAAACATGGCTGATGTGGTTAAGTGCTGTTAAGAGGAGGACAACTTATAGCAACTCTATGAAAAACAGGCAGTAAATGCCATTGTTGTTTCCTGCCTGTGTGACTTGATAGCATGAAGAGGCATGGAGTCCCTGGGTAGCATCGTTAACTAGTCAGCTACTAACTGAAAGGTTCCTGGTTTACACCAGAGGCACCTCAAAAGAAAAGCTTGGGGATCCCTTTCTCTGAGGTCACATACTTTGAAAATCAATGGAGAAGTCTCATTCTGCAATGCAGGGAGTCACCTTTTCACCTCGACAGCAACAGGTTTAGGTTTGGATTTGTTTTGGTTTATATTTTTGTTTTTTATTGCCTCTTGAAATTTGAGGAAAATGAATCTCCTCTGCCTGCTAGTAAACTGCTACTAGAGAGCTATAACTCATGGTGGCTCAGTCCACATTATGTCCTTCAGATTTCTGCAAGGAATAGGTGGAGTGAAGGGCAAGTTCAAAGTAAACCAGCCACAAATTGGACAAGGAGCCACTGTTGAAAGCTACACATATAGTTTTATTGTTAGGTGCCTTTGATTCAAGTACAACTCATAGCGACCCTATGATCCACAGACCTGTGCCTGTCCTATCCTATGTCTTCATCCTCACCTCTGATACCCATTGCTGCAGTCACTGTGTCGACCCATCTCGTTGGGGGTCTTCCTCTCTTTTACTGATCCTCCACCTTTCCAAGCATGATATCCCTTTCCAAGGAATATATAAACATAGTTTCTGGAAAACTAGAGAAATCTTTCTTGGCTGCAATTAAGACATCTAGTTACTGTTTCTTCAGTGATTTGGACTCTTTAGTTTCATTCGCGTGTTCTGTTATTTTTTTTTTTTCCTCATTGTCAGTAGTTCTTGATGCCCCTCTGCTCAAACACTGGACTCACTGCTCATAATGACAGTGACCATGAGACAAAGATCTTTGACCTCCCAGACCTCAACGTCAAGAATGTGTGGTTAAGAAAGAAGTTGTGGGTTTTGTTGTTGTTATGTGCTGTCGAGTAGACTATGACTCATCAGAACAATAACTCTGAGAGAGAAGGGGCTGGAAGGAATCATATTAAGCATGTAGAATTTAAAAAGAGAAGATGTCTCACCTTTTATCAAGAAAATAAGGAACTATGGCAGCATAGATTATAGCATGTTTTGCTGCTAATATCCATGAGCTACTCTGCAGAGGGAAGATTGACAGTCTCCTCTCATTAAGATTTACAGCCTCAGACTCTAGATGAAAGTCACCATGAGTCAGAATCCACTCAAAAGCAGTGGGTCGGATTTTCTACCAAGAAACTACAAACGTTGGTGGCATGGTGGTTAAGAGCCAGCTACCAACTGGAAGGTGAGTGCTTCCAGGCCACCATCTTGGTCCAGAGGAGGAAGATGTGGCAACGTGCCATCATAAGGATTACAACCTTGGAAACCCCGCAGGGCCTTTGGGGTTGTTATGAGTTAGAATAGACTCAGAAGTAATGAGGTGGATATCGAGGAAATGGAGATTGTATGCGCCAGAGAATGACTTGCAAGGGAAGATGTTTTAGCTGAAACTGATGGTGGGGCGGGCCACTGAGGAGCACATTCTGGGCATAACACACAAGTTCTCAGTTCCCTTGTGCTTTGAAAAAAATGAAAAAGAACAGCACTAATCCTTAACCATGAAGAGCATTGCCAATATGTTACCATTTCCCAGGCAACCTGCTCTCTGAAAATCTTCCCTCACCTACTTATTATCCTTTAAAACTTCTCCAACAGGGTGCGATAGTCTTCACTTTCCAGAAAATGCAGGGTGGTGTCACTAAACTTATACAGCCCTAGAAGAAACTGTTAACTCTTCCCAAGTGAGGCTAGACTGACAGATTTTTTGAGGCAAAAGAGAATGCAAGTGCTGGAAACCCAAAGGAAGATGACGTAGAGGGACCTACAGAGGGGTGTTAGGGGGTGCTGGCTCTGGTAAAATGGACCAGCCTTGAGGAACTTGGCCTTTTATGAACTTTCTAGGGCATTTCATAAGCGAGGCTGCTCTGGTGGGGTAGTCGGTAGAAAGCTGCACTTCTGACTCAAAGGTAATGCCTATGTGGTGGTTCAAGTCTGCCATCTGCTTCTCCAGAGAGAGACAGGCATTCTCTTCCTATGCTATTCACAGCCTCCAAAAACCCACTGGAGGGCCAGCTAGAAATCCCTTCTGTCTCAAAGGCAATGAGTTTTGAGTGAGTTTGTAAATTAAAAACTAATTATGGTTGTGTTGTTTGTAGGTGCCATCTAGTCAAGTACAACTCACAGCATCCCTACAAACAATAGGTCTGAACCCTGTCCTATCCCGTGCCATCCTTATCATCTCTGACACGAGAGCCCATTGCTGCAGTCATTGTCCATCTCACTGAGGGTCTTCCTCTCTTTCACTGACCCTCCATCTTTCCAAGGAATAACCTCTACTAGCAACATGTCCAAAATATGAGAGACCAAGTTTCACCATCCTTGCCTCTAAGGAGCACACTTATTGCACTTTTGGCCAGTAGTATTAACTATTGATAAATTCATTTTATGTGTTTGGCACGGTATACATGACAAGTGTATAAAAGTCCTCATAGTCTCCAGATGCTCCTCACCCATACTGAAGTTCGTTCATATTTTCCCCTGCAGCCCCAAATGTCTTTTTTGTCATGTTTTCTTCTTCGTAAAAGTTTTCTTTCTATTTAAGTGCCAGCCTCTGTAAGTAACCTCAAAGGGTCCAATCGGAACATGACAGACAGCCTCTGGTTCAGCTGGACTCCAGCCTCTGGCGACTTCGACTATTATGAGCTGATCCTCTACAACCCCAATGGCACCAAGAAGGAGAACTGGAAAGACAGGCATGTGACTGAATGGAGTTTTCATCGCCTCGTTCCTGGAAGGAAGTACACGCTGTGGGTGGTAACGCACAGTGGGGATCTCACCAACGTGGTCACAGGGGAGAGCAGAACAGGTGAGACCCCAGGTGCCAGTGGCCCTATGTGGGTGAGAAGTACCTCCAAGGACACATCTTAATTATATTTTAGTGACAGGAAAACAAAATCAACAATGGCATGCAATGTGCTGGCCTAAACTTGGGGAGGCACACTGCAACAGTGGAGAAAGGATTCTGACTTTGGCCAAAAGATCTAGCTCCTTTGTTCAGCCCTGTCATGTACCTGTGTGCTCTTGAGATGACGTGATGTGTAAAATAGGGATAATTATGCCCTTATCATTGTGTAGTTATAAGTTCTTTAATAATTTTATATCCTGGGCATGCATCAAAGTAATATAAAAATGTATATATTATACTATATTATTAATATGTTGTAGTTACACACTGTCAAGTTGGAACCAACTGATAGCTGACCTTCCAGTGGGTTTTCAGAGGCTGTAAATTGCACAAGTGACTCTCCGTCTTGCTCCCTTAGAGCAACTGGTAGATTTAAGTCACATGCCTTTGGGTTGGCACCACAACTCCTTACCTACTAGGTCACTAGAGCTCCTTTATTATTAATATAATAATATTAGTCTCTGTCCACTTCACTGTTTGCTTCAATGAACAAGGCTACATGCAACTAGCATAATTGCCTCTGGTCTCTAACCCTCTTATCTTCAAAACTGATAAAATATCTTCTACCTTGATTAGGACAATTAAAGTGTTCAAGGACAGTGCCTTATACATAATAAACTCCAAACAGACACCTACTTTTATTATGTCATTGTGCTTACCTTTTCCTACAAAATACATTATATAGGAACTATGTACTTCATCTATCCTTATTCATTGATGTTAGGAGTGTAATTTTTCCCTTTCTTTTACATGTAGCCCCAAGTCCTCCCAGTTTTATGAGATTTACTGATGTTGCAAACACATCCCTGGTTATTACCTGGAAGGTGCCCCCAGACTGGACAGACTATGATGACTTTGAATTGCAGTGGTTGCCAAAAGACACACTCTCTGTCATCAACCCCTACTTCAACAAAAAATCAGAAGTACGCATCGTGAACGGTCTTCGCCCAGGGAGATCTTATCAATTCAGTGTCAAGACTGTCAGTGGCAATTCTTGGAAAACCTACAGCAAACCAGTTTTTGGATCCGTGAGGACAAGTATGACACTCTTTGCTTCTCTTGGATTTCAAATAGAGTAGCTAGGAAATAAATGTTACAAGTGTTCTAACATCTTATTCCAATGCAGCTTGGTTTAAATGCACACTTTACCTGTTTGGTTTGTTTGGATTGTCTTTTAAGACTTATAGAGATCTGCTTATTCACTGATTGTTAACAATAATTAAAAGTGCAGACATAGTTTTTACCCTTGTAAAGCTTACAATTAGGTGAGAGATACCATAAATAAACAGTTAAATCTGGGTGTAATGAAGGAGGTAAATTATATAAAAACATGACAGAAGTATCTAATTTAAATCAGTTTAATTTCTTGGAAGAAGAAGCATCCCAATCAAGATATAGAAGAAGAGTAAAATTCAGCAGGTAGAGATGGAGAAATGGAAAATAATCCAAGAGGAGAGAATAAAATATTCCAAGATCCATGGAGGAGAGAGAGAGGGGAGAACAGAAAACTTAGGCTGACTGACATGGAGTTGATTCCAGCTTATAGCACCCTCCACTGAGTTCCAGAGGCTGTGACTCACTCCAATCTTTCTTCCCCAGAACTGCTGGTGGATTCAAACCACCAGGGACTTGAGTCCTTTGGGTTAGCAGCACAATTCAGCATAGACTAGGCCCCCAGGGCTCTCCTTAGGAAGTCTAATTGGCCTGGGATGGGGCAAAGAGATGTGAAGTGATTTATCCAAAAACCCATTGAGAGGGAAAAAATACACATTAAGAATGAAATACATAGTGAATAGAACTTGAATACAGCAGACCAAACTTTACTGCTAACCTCTTTACTGCTAGGCCCCACTTCTATCTGACTTCTGCAACTGGATTTCTGTGCCCATGTGTGCATTTGTGTTTCTAATCATATTACTGCCTATTGGTTCTCGCAAAGGTCAACATTTACCTTCTAATGCTTACAAAGCAGAGCCTGGCAGGCAGAGATCTCCTTGGGAGACCCATGAGAACTGTTCCTGGGGGTGGAGGCGGGGTGGGGGTGGTACATAAAATTGAAGAATAGTTTCTTTAAAACTTAGAGCAAGTTAGAACAAAGTGTAATGGAGTTCTGAGTCTTTCTTTTTCTCCCCACCACACACCCTGCCCCTGCCCAGGGCCAGACAAGATACAAAACCTACATTGCCGGCCTCAGAACTCAACTGCCATCGCCTGTTCCTGGATCCCTCCAGATTCGGACTTTGATGGGTATAGCATTGAGTGCCGGAAAATGGACACACAAGAAGTTGAGTTTTCCAGAAAGCTGGAGAAAGAAAAATCTTTGCTCAACATCATGATGTTGGTACCCCATAAGAGGTACCTGGTGTCCATTAAGGTGCAGTCTGCCGGCATGACCAGCGAGGTGGTTGAGGACAGCACCATCACAATGATAGACCGTAAGTGTCCCCAGAGGGCTGTGTCAAACCTCTGAACAGGAGGTGGAGCGTCTTTCCCCTCCGGAGTGAAGAAACATCCAAAGGGAGTGTCCGTTACCACCGTGTGCTTGCACATGCCTTCCCTTTAGCCAGATCTTATTGCCACTTGGGGTTGAGGACCTAAAGTCTTTCATGAAGTGGAAGCATTTATTTGTGTAAAGTGCCTCAGCAGAAAACAAGTTAAATGATGTTCAAGTACCGGGATGAGTTGTATTTAAATGCATCACAGTTACCTGGTGTACTTAGAGCTATAATGGAGAGCTGTTAAGTAATTGGAAGCAAGACTTCAGGAAATCCCACAGAGAAGCTGCCCCTTTCATTATGCTTAATGTGCTCCCAGCAAGTCACTTCCTCTACCTTCCTCCACAGAGGAGAGGAGGGAGAGAGTTTCTTGATCACAAGACACACATTCTCTCTCTCTCTCTCTCTCTCTCTCTCTCTCTCTCTCTCTCTCGTGGGTGAGTGGAAATTTTCATTTCACTGACTGTTGTTTATGACGTGAAAGCCCTGTGACCTCTCTTGGTTCCTTCCTCACCCCTGTTCCAGGGCCCCCTCCTCCACCTCCACACATCCGTGTGAATAAGAAGGACGTGCTCATTAGCCAATCTTCCATCAACTTCACTTTCAACTGCAGCTGGTTCAGCGACACCAATGGAGCAGTGAAATACTTCACAGTGGTCGTGAGAGAGGCTGATGGTAAGTTTTCATGAACTGGCTGAGCTGCCTGGAGACAGCCTTGCCTTCTCAAGGACTCTTACTGCAGATTCTCAAGAGCCGAAAACTCCATTTATGTATCATTCAGTATCAGCACTGCTGGAAGCTGAGAGTTGGAACAAGAAATTGTTTAAAAGCTCTTTGGGCAATAAAGTGTTATCTGCAGGGTTTGATTATAAAAGAAGAGGATAATAATAATAATAGCAACTACAGCAATAATAACAATAATCACCAGCGACTGAGTTCTTACTAAGTGCCAGACACTGTTTGACTCCTTCAATCTGCACAACGACTCCATGAGGACAATTCCAAAATTCTGAGTAAGGTCCTAAAGCACCAAAAGATTAAGTAACATGCTCAAGGTCACAAAGCTAGTAGGCAAAGGACTCAGAGGCAGGTGGTTTAGCTTTGCAGGCTGTGCATTTAAAGGAGCTCTTGGTGGCCTAGTGGTAAGAGTTTCACTGCCACCTCAGAACCACATGGTCCAAATCCATCAGCTGTTCTGTGGGAGAAAAATGGGCTGTCTCCTCCTCCCATGCAATTTACTACTTCTGAAAATCCTCTAGAGAGTTCAGCCATGAGTCGGTTCTTTCTAGATAGTACAAAACAATGACAACAGATAATGCAAAGATTGTTGTTGTTATGTGCCATCAAGCCGCTTGTGACTCACAGTGGCCCTAAACCTTATCCGGTGCCAACCTTACTGTCTCTGACACATCTACACCCATTACCCCAGTCACATCAATGCATCTCAAGAGTCTTCCTCTCTTTTACTCTCTCTGCCCTCCCAAGCATGATGTCCCTCTCTAAGGACTGGTCCCTCCTTGCAACATGTCCAGAGTATGTCAGATGGAGCTTCAGAATTCTTGCCTCCAAGGAGCAGACAGGTTTCATCCTCTCCAAGTCAAACCTGCTTATTCTCCTAGCTGTCCATGGTATATTCAACACTCTTCTCCAATTCAAAAATTAGAGAAATAGAATTAGTCTCTGTATTAGGGTCTTCTGATTTAATGCCAAAATGGGAGCAACATTCACCATTCTTTTGTTCTTCCATTAGGTTGCAATTACTTTTCAGCTCTCTTCATCCTCCGCCTCCCATCTCAAATACACCAATCAACCACATGGTCCCGAACTCCCCGCCAACTCACAAGGGTAATCACAAACTTGAAAAAAGAAAAGCATTTGCTCTTTCTGTACTGAATTCTGAGTAGTTAGATTTGCCAGTTTCCTAAATTTTTCAACATCAAATTCCTACAGATGGGGAAAATCCTAGGTAATAAGCAAAACATTCCATTACAATCTGTGAATGAGCCCTGTACAGCTTATTGTTTCAACATTGCCCAACTATCTACAAGAGTGCTGTACCTGAAGAGAGAGGGGGTACACATGCCCATAAACGTATTTGCCATTGAAATATCATTTATTTTGTCACCAAAAGAGATTCTGTGTCTTGAATGACATTAATATGCTTTGTTATTGTTGTGTAGCATCGACTCAGAACCGACCCAAAGCTGACCCTCCAGCAGGTTTTCAGAGCCTTTTATTGCACAGGAGGAGATTGACCATCTTTCTCCTGTAGAGCAGCTGGTGGGTTTGAACCTCATGCCTTCAGGATTTCAGCACAGCTTTTTACCACTAGGCATTTTTAAAAATGGCTTTAAGGGTTGTACATGAGCACCCCTGACTATTTTAACCCACTTGTGGGCAAAGAAGACACCTTGAATGTGACCAACACTAGCATAATTTCTAGGCAGAATAGTTATTTCATTTCACTGGCTGTCCAACAGTCTATGTGCTTTGACATTCTGTTTATCTTTACTGAAGCTGCTTAAAGGAACCCTGGTGGTACAGTCCATCGGAAATTGTGCTGCTAATTCAGAGGTTGCATCTCTCTGGTGTTTCAGGTCCACCAGCAGCTCTGCAGGGGAAAGACAGACAAGCTCTGCCCCCGCCCCCACCCCCCCACCCCCAGCAATTTACAGCCCCAGAAATCTCCTAGAGGGTCAGCTGTGAGTTGGTTCTCACTGGGCTGCATCAAGAGTGAGAAACCTGTTAATGAAATAATTTCAAAAGCTATTGGTGCTTCCCACGTTTCCTCATAATTGGAGATAAGTTGGTCAACTGTGGGATGAGTTCATATTTAATCCGTGATGACGGAAGTATTGTTTTACTACATGTGTTTAAGGCAGTGGTTATAAAGATGTCATGCTCTGTTCTATCTCAAATATCAATACTCTGCTGGCCATCAAATAACAATCCATTTCATACAAACATCAATGACAGCATGAGGGTAGCCTAAAGGCAAGATTCTCTTTCTTCTACTACCAAAACCTAACATTTCCAAGTAGAAAATCAAACCTCACTTTGTACTTTTCTGATAATAAACTGTGAATTGAATGAACTAGTGAATCCTGCTCCCATCTGTTCTGACATCAGCTGCACATGAAGCAGTTTTTCCTCTGACCGTAATCAGCGGGAGCGATTGCAAAGATTATAGAGATGAAATAATTTCTAGGTCAGGTCCAATCATTTAGAGGGCACAGTCCTCCAACCTTCTATGGCCGCCCAAGATCTCAGTCTTCAGCCACAAGCTTAGGTCCCCATAACACTTTCACTTCTGACTTGATAGCTACAAATACAGAGGTCTCTCACTACTTCTATAGGATGACACCATGATCTCAGGAGTCACCAGCACCCCTCACTTGCTCCTGCTACTCTTAAATCCAAGAATTCACTACAATGTCTCACAAAATACGCTGTTAGATTTCAACTTACTATGGTGGGTCATCTATGAGTCGGTTCTAACTTGACAGTAATGAGAGAGGGAGAGAGACTAGAGTTTTATTATCACAAAAAAAAAAGAATACAAAGGAGACACATTGAGCAAGGTCTTGGAAGTTTCTGAAGTCAGAACTTCTGTATTTCAAAAGGGACATGTCATCCTATGTGCATCCATACTATCACCAACCAGGAAGCCCATGGAATATCCATGTCCAGATGACTTATCTATGGTTAAACATCACAAAGTCTCCTTTCTAGCCTACCCAGTCCCTACTTAAGAGCCATATCTTTGCTTTAAACCCTAAAGTGTGGTCTAGAGGCCCCATCAAAGACATTGTCATCATTAGGAAAATTCTAGGCTTTAGAGGTGAATATCTCTGTAATCAAAGACAATGACCAAATTCTTTGAGTAAAGTTAATAATATAAAGCCTACACCAAGACTTCCTCACTTTGAGTAAATTTCATTAAGCAAGGGTCCCAATTGTTGCAAAAAACCCCAACTGCGCACTCCTTGAAGTGCATTATAGATGATATCTCTATAATGTTTATCTTCCTAATTGTGCTTTCCTTTAGCTAACATCAAATTGAGTTCACATTGCCAAAACACACAGTGTTTGCTAAGCAGACAGGGGAAGAGTTCTGGGAAGTGTTCTAAGTGATAGGCCAAATTCATGCCAGGATAAAGCTGTACTTAAGATAACAGAGAGCTGGACATGAAGGGATTATCTGACTGGGCGTGTGGAACGTGCCTTGTGGGATGGACTGCTCTGACCCAGGACCTGGCTTTCTTATCTTTTCGCTATTTCCCAGGTCATAGAGATTTCCTTATTAGCTCAGCAACAGTGGTTATTGGCAGAGTAGAGAGCTTATTGACCTTATTGGGCTCTCACAATAAGGAGTATCCAACTAAGTAGGGTTATAGAACTTGTTACCATGTTTTTGGGATATTATTATTATTATTAATTTTAATGAAAATTTACAGATATTTTGGACTTCCATTCATTGATTGTTGCCTTTTTCTCCCTGCCCACCCCTCCCCTTCAGTTTGTTCTTCTCTTTGAAAAGTAAAAGAAAAATTCTTTCATTGTTATATAATCCCTACCCCCAAGTCCATTACACTATGCAGCCTTTATTCTGGACTCCTATCGTAACAATAATACCTAATCATATATATCTTTGAAAGAGTTTTCTCTCTCATCTGTTTCAATGCAGTATACATAATGTATCCCATCTTTCCCAATCTTCCCCCCAACCCCTATATCAGTCCCATTTTACATCAGTGGCACCATGCAGTATTTGTCCTTTTGTGACTGAGATATTTCAGTCAGCATAATGTCCTCCAGGATCACCTATTATGTTTGATACAGTGAGCACATGCACACATACATCACATATTTTATTTCCTAGAAAATTATATATATATATATATATTTATATATATATACTGTTAAGTGTCATTGATTGGATTTTGTTTGGGTCCATAGTGAACACATGTGTTAGAGTAACTGCCCTATAGCGTGCTCTAGGCTGTAATCTTCACAGTAGTCAAACGCAAAACAAAGCACAAATTTAATACCATTGACTCAGTTCTGACTCGGCAAACTTCCATTAGTTTTCTGAGATTATAAATCACAGTGGGAGGAGGCTGCCTACCTTTCCTCCTCAGAGGAGCTTGTGGATTCAAACCAAGGACCCAGTCTTAAAGTAGTCCCCAATGGACTGTGCCATAAAGTTATGTTCTTATGTGCTGTTGAAAGGCAATCCTCCAGTGAGTTTTCAGAGGGTGTAAATCACATAGGAGGAGATTGCACATCTTTCTCCTGCAGAGCAGCTGGTAGATTCAAACCACTTGCCTTTGAGTTGGCAATGCAACTCCTTCATCCGTAGACCACCTGAGCTCCCACAGAAAAGTGTAAACTAAAACTGCATCTCATTAGGAGAATTTCTCAGCCTCCCTTGATATCACAGAACCTGTGCTGCTCTGAGGAAAAGCCAGAGAGGGTGAGAAAGGAGGAGGCAGTTTTAGAAACCTAGTTAGAAATCACAAGCACTGAAGTCACTAGAGTGTCTGTCACTGGGTTTTCTTTCCCCAGGCAGTGACGAGCTGAAGCCGGAACCACAGCACCCTCTGCCTTCCTACCTGGAATACAGGCACAATGCCTCCATTCGAGTGTATCAGACGAATTATTTTGCAAGCAAATGTGCTGAAAGTCCGGACGGCAACTATAAAAGTTTTAACATTAAACTTGGAGCAGAGATGGAGAGCCTGGGTGGAAAATGCGATCTCCATCAGCAAAAATTTTGTGATGGACCACTGAAGCCACGCACTGCCTACAGGTTAGACATATGGCCATAATTTCCCTAGACAGGACATGATACATCATCAGTGCTCCGCTGTCTGAGTATGGGATTCTCATGAACACCTCTAGATTAATAACATAAATTCATAGGTACTGTGAGCTGAGGGCTTTCAAGAGATAGCAAAATCTGTATTATGCCTGGTTTAATTTATTATGTGAAGAATTGATTGAGGACCCTTAATCAATTGCTTTCCCCCACAACTTCTTTAACCTGCATCAAATAATTTACTGTGCTAACTATTGCAGGAGTGTTTGAAGAGAAAGGCTGAGTGTAGGGAGACTCCAGCAATATCAGGTTTTATCTTCTGCTTTTAGTGAGGACTAGTGTTACATTGATTTAAAAGGAATCTAAATATAAAATTATCTAAATAGAAAAAAGTAAATACAAAAAAAGTGCTCTGTGGTGCAGATGCAGTTCTCAGAGGGAAAGAACTTTTAAATTAATAGAATCCTTCTAATCACTTCTAAAATGGTGGGTTAAAAAGAGCAGGAATTTGGCTTAACCTCTAGCAAGCACCACTGCATCAGACAGGCGCTCCTAGATCTGGAAGTATACAGTGTCCAAACCAGTGGCAACAAGAGAAAGAAAGCCAACAGACTTACTGCCTTACATACAAGGCTGCAGGTATCTCAGATGGTTATGTCTGTGGAGGTTGTGCCTTCTCTGTTGACAGAGCTGGTATTCAGCCAGCATCCCACTGATTGGGTTCTTTGTGGACAGTGCTCATTCTAAGTGTTTGGCTCCAAGGCCTTTTAAGTATTCTGAGTATCGCTGTAGGGTCTCAGCATAAAAATTTTGCTGTCAGATCCATAACAAGTCTGACATGACACCATACATAAGAGTTCTTAATCCTTACCTTGCATCAGCTAAAATAGTCAGATAGTTTTAGTAAAATGAAGAGTCCCTTGTGGAAGGAACTTTGAAGAGCTATCTCTGCCCAAAACTTATTGTAAACTTGGCTATTGCCAAGTGTTTACCTTCTGAGTAAACACTCAAAACTTATCTCAAAACTTATAAGTGATAATTACTTCAAAGGAGACCATATGAGCCTATATATGAGGGCAGAGGTGAGTCAGAATAGACTTGTTCTGCAGTCTTTTCAGTAAGTGGTTTTTCAAAAGTAGATTGCTGCAAGTCTTTCCTTAAAGTTCCGTCCTCTCACTGGACAGCTAAGCACATTAACTATTTGCTCTACCCATGGATATTGGTTTTATAGAGCTTGAAGAACTTGAGATCTCTGATGGGCAAGATGAGAGATCAGAAAACCAAGATCCCTCAGCATCTATAAAAATGGAGATTTAAAAAAAAAAATTGAGATCTTCCAGCTCCTTTTATTCACCCGGGCTCAAAGAAACTTGAGCAAAACTCTGTGAAAGGCAACTTGGTCTTTCTGAGTTAGAGTGTTGAAGCTATTTTAGTTTGCTTCCTTGCTTTGGGAAAGGAAAAGAGAAAATGACTCATTACTGTATTTTAGAGAACGTTAAGAAGCTGTAGAGCCTTGATGTCTGGACCAGAGCCCACTATTCTCCAAGCAGGCACCCTTCCTGTCCCTCACAGCTGCTGAAGTCCTCAGGAGCATCTGGATCTGAGTTCTAGCTCTGGCACTTTTTAGCTGTGCGACCTTGTAAAAAAGGGCTTTTCCATTCTCTAATCCTCACGATTTGCATCTGCAGAACATTGCAGGGTTGTCCTGAAGAGTAAGTAATGCATGTGAAGGACCAAACTTAGTCATGTCCTTTCTAGATTAAGGGTTTCCCACACATTTCCAGGAGCAAGCACAGATTCCTGAACAGGATACACAAAGCCCTTGAGTTCTCCTTTCTGCCTTCCTTGCCTCTTTCCCACCATCTGCCCCAGCACTCCTGCCCTTTCTCTGTGTCTCACTTCTCAGAGTTCCCTTGACAGTAGCTTGGGTGCCTGACACTTCCTTGTCTGGCTGGTGAATTTCTTACACTTCAAAAGCCAATTTAGCACCTGTTGAGCACAACACCACATCTGCCCACCTCCCCCACAGTCAGGCTGTAGAGTACTACCTTGGCTCCGTTAGCATAGTACTTAGTCACTACATCCCCCTAATGCTGCTGTGTTTCCCAGTGATTTCTAAGCCTCTGCTTAATTGCCTGTTCTATTGACTAGACTGAGAGAGTTCATAATCTACCAAGGGAAACAAATCACTGGTTGCAAACTGCATGCCAGGCAAGTACCTGGCACAACAGAAGCCCTCATTAAATGTTGTATGGTCAGATGAGGAAATGTTCTATGAAAAGCTACACATTCTTTTTTTTTTTTCTCTTAATCAACTCAGCATGTATAGATTTGTCTTCTAGAACACAGCTTTTCTATAATTCCCCGATACACATTTGGTTAATCCCGTTAGAAGCATGTCAGGCAGATAATGCTCGCTAAATGAGGGTGTCCCATTTCCAAGCACATGGGAGAGCCACGTGCTAAGGGGTCTCGTGTGTGATCACAAGGCTGTCTCTCTCTTAAGAGAATAATCACAGTGATCCTCACTATTGTCAGCTTCTTTTCCCCCAGATAGAGTAGGTAGGCAGGGAAGAGTATGGGCGAAGGACATCAAGGTTAAACAAAAGGGGGAAAGCGAAATTTAGCTGATAGACCAGTTTGTTATATCATCAAATGTGATCTTTTCCAATCCACTGCTGGATTTCTACCATTCACTATTCCATATGGAAAAACAAGGGGGAGCGGCTTGTTTGAATGTGAAGAAAGTGCTGATCTGCTTTTGTTTTCATTCTAAATAGGATCCTAATGTAACCACAAAAGGGCAGGCAACATCCCCTGACCTCATTTTCCTTAACTGAAGGAAATTCAGTTACAAGAGCCCTAACTTTCTGCTGTAGAATCCTGATTCTATGCATAACAGACTATCATATAAGTTCATGAAAATAACACTTATCATGTTAATGGGATATTATATTTAATATTTGTTTTCTTGCTTGTGGCCTAATGGTAAAAAGCTGCACTGTAATCCCAAAGGCACATGGTTCAAATCCACCAGCTGCTCTATGGGAGAAGGATAGGCAGTTTCGTTTTAGGCAGTTAAGTGCCTCTGAAAAGCCACTGGAGGATCAGCTATGTTCCATCTCAAAAGCACACAACAATAATATGTGAAAAGCACTGAGCCAGGCATTATAAGGGAACAAAAGATATCTAAGAGAAGACTCTTACCTTCAAGAGCATGTAGTATATTGAGAAAATAGAGGCAGAATCGTGAAAGGCATTAGAAGTAAAAGGAAATAAAATCTGTGAGACTTCAGAAAACTTTTGGAGGATATTTCATTTTTATTTGTTCTTATGCAACTATTCACTCAGCATAGTGCTCTCTTCAGTCCCTCACAAGTTATGCAGTAATATTCAAATCATTGCTCCTGAGTGCTGAGTAGTAGTCTGTTGTGTGAAAGTACCACAATTGTGGTTGGACATTTGGGCTGTTTCCATGTTTTTGGGACAGTGAATAACACTGCTATGAACACTGATGTACAAATCTCCTTATGTGTCTCAGTTCTAATTTTCCCAGGGTGTATTCCTAGTGCTGGAATGACTAAGTCATATGGACTTTCTATATCCAGCTTTTTTAGGAAATGCCAAACTGCATTCCAGAGTGATTGATAACTAGTAAAATGTGCATGAGGATCCAAAGTAGGGAGGGCGGGCACAGAGGGGTAAAGATGGGCGGGAGGGCGGGAGGGCGGGGAACCAAGGGGTCACACAATTTGGTGGGGCTAGGGAAGGGCGGGTAAAGGAAATGGGAAAGATCCAGCAGGGATCTGGAAAGACAGAATAATGGTGGGTATAGTTCAATTATGATTAATTGTATAAACCGTAATTAATAGGAATGATTATATGAAACACAATGTGAATGAAGAATAGTGTGAAACACAATGTATATGAACTTTGCAAGCAAATGAAATTACATTTTTTTTAAAAGGGAAAGCCTAGACATACACACAAAAGAATTTAAAATAAGAATACCAGTAGATGATTGTATGTCAATGTTTGTTGCAACACCCTTCACAATAGCCAAAAGTTAGATACAATCCAAGTGCCCATCAAGAGATGAATGGATCAACACGATGTAGTGTATACTTACAGAATATTACTTGAGCACAAAGAGAAATGACTTCCTGATACATACTACAATATGAGTGAACCCTTAAAACACTCCACTGAATAAAACAAGTCAGGTGTTAAATACCTCAAATTGGCAAGAGCATTTAGAGACCTGAGTTTGTTAGTGGCTACTGGGGCAAATGGGAGGAAGAAGAAAAAGAAGGCATGACCTCCTTGCGTGCTGTCCAGCCCCAGAGCTTTGCTCCTGCTCTTCCCTCCACCCAGAATGCAGGAGGAGCTCACTTCCTCAGTCTCCTCGCATTTCTGTGCACATATCTCCTTGTCAAGGAACCCTTCGCTGACCATGCCAAATACAGTCGTCCCACATGCCTATTTCTATTACTTCAGTTCTCTTGTCCCTTCCCTTTTTCATAGCACCTATCAGTATGTGGTATGTATTTCTGACTTGTCTTACTCCTTCCATGACAGTGTGAATTCTGACTTTGCTTTACTTTTTACAGTAACCTCAGGTCTGATAACAGACCCTACAATCTAGTAGAGGCTCACTAAATATCCAGTGATTGAATAAATAAATGGATGTATGGATGGATAGATAGATGATAGATAGATAGATAGATAGATAGATAGATAGATAGATAGATAGATAGACCATGCCCAAGTGTGTCTGATTCTATAATTCAGTCCTACCCTGTATACCTACTGGTTAGATTCCCAGTCTGTTTCTGCTCCAACATGCTTTCTAGTGAGTGATGCTATAATTAGTCACTTAAATAAGTTGGTTTTCTTTTCAGAATCAGCATTCGGGCTTTCACACAGCTGTTTGATGAGAATCTGAAGGAATTCACCAAACCACTCTATTCAGACACATTTTTCTCTTTGCCTATCACCACTGAGTCAGGTAAGACTAATCTGTACATCCACCCACACCTTCCACCAACTACCAAATCACCAATAAGGGCCTCGAGAGAGGAGACCTGGTGACTTGGCAGAAGGTGGAAGGAACATTTGATTCCCATTTGGAATCTAATCTTTATGTGACCATGGATTGATGTGAAGTAGAGGGATTGAACAGCTTCTGTAGGAAAAAGGATAGGGAAAGAGATTAATCTGAAAAAAGAAAGAGGAAGTCCAAGAATTTTTTGTAATGAAAAAAAAAATTTATAATAGTGCCAGTACAACCTTAGACTCTAGAGTTTGCAAATGCTATTATACAAGTTGGTGTGAAATGCTTTTAATTGTGTATGGAATGTATCTGTGCATAAACACAGAGATGCATAAAAAGAATAGATAGAAATATTAACAATAAATTATTGACACAGTAATTACTAAAGCAGTTATAGGCGGCCTAGTGGTAAGAAGTTGTGCTGCAATCCCAAAGGCACATGATTCGAATCCACCAGCTGCTCTGTGGCAGAAAGAGGTCAAGTCTCCTCCCGTGTGATTTACTGTCTCTGAAAACACACTGGAGGGTTATCTATGGGTTAGCTTTGACTCAACAGCATACAACAACAACGACGACGACGTATTCATAGTTAATATTTCAAAGTGGTATAATTACAGATTTTTTCCTTACTTATTATATATTGTTAACTCTACAAATAATTTTCATATAAAACGCTTTATCCAAGTTTGAGAGGAAAAAACTCCTTTAGTAAGATAGAATGAAAGTCTGACTAATAATAATCACTGTTATTTACACGTTACTTTCTTTGTAGATGTTTGAAGCATTTTTTACATAAAATAATTTATCCAACTTCACTACAGTCTTTTGAAGAGATGCTACAAATGTGTCCATTTTAAAGGTGAAAAGCAGAGGCTCCAAGAGATTAACTATCTTGTCCACACCAGTCGAGCTGGGATCTGACAGCTTGCCTGAGCTTTCAACTCCTACACAGCATTGAAGTGCACTGCTTAAAACATTGGCTTCCTGCTCAAAATAACATCACTTGTGTCAGGTTTTCCTTGACACCATCACTCATCCAAAGTGTTCCCCAGTAGTCACTGACTTATAATGTTTTCTCTAGGAAAGGTCCTCCTTATAGCTAAAAGTCTCTTGTGTCATATGGCAGTTTTACAAATACTCTTTATCTATTTATGCCAAATACAGGGATAATCCTCCACTCTTCAACCCAAAGCAGAATCCGAACACAGTTAAGAGGATTTGATGTATTTACTTGTAATTTAGTATTAAGGAGTTGTAAACAAAAATATTTGCCACTTGAAATACTCTTGTATAAAAAAATAATTGTGTGTAGTCCAGTAGAGGAAGAGAATTTTGAAAATGACATTAATTACAGTAAAAAATGATCATGTTGATGTGATGATTGTTGAAAAACAACATTGAATAAACAAATATAAGAGCTTGAAATATAACTTCATAAATGTACTATCCAGAGACATAAATGTAAGAACCAAAACAATAAAGCTCCTAAAGGAAAACATACATGTAAACCATTATGACTTTGGAATGTGAATGGTTTTTTTTAAGATATGGCATCCAAAGTATAAGCAATGGCAACAACAACAACAAAAATAAATTAGGCATCATCAAAGTTAAAAATATTTATGTTTCAAAGGACACTGTCAAGAAAGTAAACACGCAAACCACAGAATGTGGGAAAATATTCCCAAACCATATTTCCTAAGAGGGTCAGGTATCTGTAATGCATAAAGAACTCTCACAACCAACATTATTTTTAAATGGGCAAGAAATATAAAAAGTTGTTGAAAGAAGACCTACAAATGGCAAGTAAGCACATGAAAAAGAGATTCATCATTAGTCATTTCTGTTATTATGTTCCAGCAAGTTAGAAACTGTTCATAGCTAACCCTTCAGTGGGTTTTCAGAGACAGTTAATAACACAGGAGATTGTCCAACTTTCCCGCTCAGAGCAGCTAATCGAGTCAAACCACCTGCTTTTGGTTTGGTAGCACAACTTCTTACCACTGGAGCTCCAGTAGTCATCAGGGAAGTGCAAAATGAAATCACAATAGGGTACCACTTCACACTCCCTGAGATGGATGTAATAAAAAAGAGAGGCAATAACGAATGTTGATGAGACATAGGAAAATTGGAACCCTCATACACTGCTGGTGGGAATATAAAATGGCATAGCTACTTTAGAAAACCGTTTACAGTTCCTCAAAAGGTTAAGCATAGAACTATGCAAATAGTCTAGGAGTCCCACTCATAAGGATTGTTGTCATTCAGTACCATCGAGTCAGAACTGATCCTCCTCAGGTTTTCAGAAGCAGTAACTCACACAGGAGATTGCCCATTTTCCTCTGCAGAGCAGCTGATGGATTCAAACCACATACCTTTGTGTTGGCAGCACAATTCTTTATCACCAAGCCACCAGAACTCCCTATTAAGCATTTCCCCAAGCTGAAATTATATCATCGTTGTTATTGTTATGTATCAGTGAGTTCAAACCAACTCATGACTGACCCCTCGGGGATTTTCAGAGGTTGTAAATCACCCAGGAGAATCGTGTTCATCTTTCTCCCTTGGAGCAGTTGGTGGCTTCAAACGACGTGTGTTTAGGTTGGCAGCTTACCACTAAGCCATCAGAGTTTCTTATTGTTTATGGATGCTCAGAGTAAAATTATTCGTAATGCACAGAAAGTGTGAGCAACCCAAATACCCTTTAGAAGCTGAGTGAACAAACAAAATATGGCATATCCAAACACTGGAGTATTAGTCATAAAAGAATGCAGCACCAATCTATGCTACGACATGGGTGAGCATTGAATACATTATGTTAACTGAAAGAAGTCAATTATGAAAGACCACATATTATATGAATTAGATACAACATGTTCAAGGTAGGCAAACTGATGTAGTCAGAAGTAGCTGAAACAATTAACTCGTACCAATCATTAAGATGACACCAGACCACATAGTATTTAATTCTGCTATGTTCAGTCACTTTGACTTGGACCAAACTTGAGGGTAAAACAACAATAACAACATAAAGGCAGAAAGTAGATCGTGTTTGCCTGGGCTTAGAGAGGCCGAGAGGAAGTGAGGAGTAACTGCTGAGGTGTGGGGGGGTTTTGAGAGTGATGAAAATGGAAGAAATTTATTATAGTTGATAATTGTAAAATTCCTGACCACAAAAAAACCCATCAAATTATACCATTTAAATCAGTGAATTTAGGGTACATGAATTATAATTCAGTAAAGCTGTTAGAAAATGACCTGCTCTTAACCTATGTTTAAATTCCTAGTGGCTGTATCCCACTGGATAATAAAAGTGAAATTCCTTTAAAAATAACCTTTAGCCAGCTCGTTAGGTTTGCCAAAACCCCAGATGCTGTGTAACATGTTTCATATAAATGAAATAGCATTTTTATTTTGGTAGCAGACAGCATGTTCTCCGTTCTAAATACTGGCCTTTATCTCAAATGGCCCAAGCTTTATAAATAAGCACAAAAGAATCCCAGAATCCCCTTAGAAGCAAAACATCGAAGTGTATAAAATACAGGCATAATGACCAGCCTGTCTATTATAGGAATCACAGCTTCTTTCACTTAGCATAGCCTCCATTTCATCTAATCAGTTGTATATGTCTAGCGGTATAGGGAGTTCTGGTGGCCTAATGGTAAGGAGCTACACTGCCAGTCCAAAGGAATGCAGTTCAAATCCACCAGGAGTTCCTTGGGAGAAAGATGGGCAGTCTTCTCCTATGAGATTTGCAGCCCCTGAAAAATCCTCTGGAGTGTCAGGTATAAGCCAGTTCTGACTGGATGGCACACAACAACAAGCCTTTGGATAATAAATGCTTCCGTGGCTGTAACTTGAATTCTTTGTGTCCCAATGTTCCATGTGAGAAAGGGCTTCAATTCCTTAGCACTGATGTTCCCACCTGTGTTTACTGTTTCCTTCTGGATCATTGCAGAGCCCTTGTTTGGAGTTATTGAAGGTGTAAGTGCTGGCTTGTTCTTAATTGGCATGCTGGTGGCTGTCGCTGCCTTATTCATCTGCAGACAGAAAGTTAGGTGAGTACAAAGATTTCTGTGGTGATGCAGCAGATGTTCTTTAGACTGAGAAGAAAAGATGTTCCTGGCTTAACCCACCTTTGCTCCTCCACAAATGCAAGAGTCAAACTCTGAAACCAGGATCCACTTTTTGTTTTCAGCCTCTCCCTAGATCTTTGATAAATTTCACTCTCACCAGTCTCATTTGCATGTGAAATGACTCCTTTTGCACAGAAGGGGTGAGAAGAATGTGTTGAATTTTTTTCCCCTGTGGTTCAGTCTCATCATGAAGACAGAGATGTTTGCAAATTGTGTGCCCAAGTACTTTCCTAAAATATGCTGAGCATTATGGCTGACATCACCATTTTTGGCTCAGATCTGCCATCCAAATTTAAAAAGGGGCCAAAAGGAACCAGATAGCATGTTGCCTCAATGCCGCACCCACTTCTCTCAGGGAATTTCTTTCAATTGGCACATTGTCTCCTCTCTTGCAGTCGTGTCTTGCATCTGAGGCTTGCTGGTTTTTTAAAGAAAGTTTTCTTGAGAGTGTGGGAAGTGATCATGACCTGTAGCCAAAAATCTAGGAGAAAAATCCTCAGCAATTGCACAGATCCGTTTCTGAGTGTGGGGGGAAAAGAATTTTATTTCTTCTTTGTACTCTTCTCCCCCCTCCCTTTCCTCAAAGAGATGTTAGCAGAGTATAAATCTCCGTGAGAAAATCCATATTAGCATAGACATGTCCTGCCTGACCATAAATGGGGGGGGGGGAGAATTTTGTTCAAATCAAGCTTAATGACCAAAATAAAAAGTTTCTCCTTCATATTTCAGCCATGGCCGGGAAAGGCCCTCAGCTCGCTTGAGCATCCGCAGGGACCGGCCTTTATCTGTCCACTTGAACCTGGGCCCAAAAGGGTAACTGCCATATTTTCTTTCATACAATTTATTCGAAAGAGAAGCTGATTTGTATTATGTGAGATTTGCTAACGTAGTCTTTCTTCTCTTGGCTTCCCTTCACAGCAACCGGAAAACATCTTGGTAAGAGAGCGAGCTCATTAATTACCCTATTATGTGCTTTTGAAATACAACTCAGAGTGGTTATGGCATGGTTCCTGCAGTAACTTTCTCTTCTTTTTTGTTATATTATGAATTATAGCCCAGTAAAAATTAACCAGTTTGAAGGGCATTTTATGAAGCTACAGGCTGACTCCAACTACCTTCTATCCAAGGAATACGAGGTATGATTCAGGTGCAGCAACGTGTTAGCATCTCTGTGCATGATTTCCCGCCTAACATTTACTGCAAAGTCACAGGCAACTTGAGCTTAGGACTTAGGAAGATACTTAGCTTCTCAGCTGAGTGCTCTTTCATGACAGAATCCATACCCTACACAATATAGCACCTGGCCTCGGAAGCCAATTAGAACACTGGAGTAGCTCAGCAGAATGTATCTGAGTCACATAAGAAAGCATTGGCAAGGTTCAAATGCAAACAATATCACTAGTTCAGCCATTGACTTGAATGAAAGATAATATGGTTTTGTAAAAGAGTGCCCAAGTTTTAGGTTCGGTTTAGCTTTGACATCAGGGTAACTTGAGGCAAGTTATTGTCCTTGATCCTCCATCTCTTTATCTGTAAAATGAAAACAGCAGCAATACTTCCCTTGAGGGTGTTGTGAGGGTCAAAGTTTATATGCATCAAATATTAACTATTCTGTAAGCAGTAGTTAGCGGCCTGCTCATTTAAAGATTATGAGCTCTGATGGGCCTAGAGATAAGAAGCTGTGCTGCTATCCCAAAGGTGGTGGTTGTTATGTGCCGTCAAGTCACCTGTGACTCATAGCGACCTTATGTACAACAGCCTAAACCCTGTTCTATCCCTTGCCAATCTTATTGTCCCTGACACACCTACACCCATTACCCCAGTAACGTATCAATCCATCTGATCGAGGTTCTTCCTCTTCTGCCCTGTCCCTCCACCCTCCCAAGGATAACATCCCTCCCCAAGGACTGGTCCCACCATGTAGCATGTCCAAATTAGGTCAAAGTTTTGGAATCCTTGCCTTCAAGGAGCAGCCTGGTCTCACCCTCTCTAGGATGAACCTATTTGTGACTCTTCTCCAGCACAACAGCTCAAAGACATCAATCCTCTTTCTATCGTCCCTAGTCATTGTCCAGTTTTCTGATGCATAACAAGTAATTACAAAGACTATGGCCTGGATCAGGCACACCTTAGTCTCCAGACTGACATTGTTACTCTTCAGTACTTTGGAGAGGTCGTAGGTGGTTCAAAGCCACCAGATGCTCTGCAGAAGGATGGAAAATCCCCTCCTATGTGATTTAATGCCTCTGAAAACAACTGGAGGGTCAGCTATGGGTGGTTCAGATTCAGTGGCAAATAATAGCATGCGGCATTTCTATTTTGCCATATAGAGTCATTATGGATCAGAATCAATGTAATGTCGCACCACATACAAGTGTCACTATGTTTCTCTTTTTTAATATTAAGAACCATATGGATTTTTCTGATTCTATTTCATAGTTTTCCACTTACAAATTTATTTTTTACTTAACAGGACTTAAAGGACGTAGGTCGAAACCAATCATGTGACATTGCACTCTTACCAGAGAATAGAGGGAAAAATCGATATAACAATATATTGCCCTGTAAGTTTTCTGTTGAAATTTGTACTATTGTCTTCCACTAGTCATTTCTCCTCTTTTCCAGGGGTAAAGTAAGACTACAGAAATACAGCTGGTTACAATCTCATGTCCTAATTGCCTTTAAAAAGGAATGGCTTTTATTCTATTACACCTGTATTTTATTAAAATCAACTTGGATTCTGAGCGTTGCCTTATGCTATTGACAATTAACCAGGTGGTCTGACTGCTTCTCTTTGGAGGCCAACTAATAGTAATGAGGTTGAAGCGAGGGCTCCGATAGCTAGCTGATTGAGGTTTGCTTAAGGAAATCTCCAGTTCAGGATTATTCTTTGGTTTTATCCTTACTATATGAGATGAAGGAATGGGAGTTAGTTTTGCCTGGATTGTTTTTGTCCTAGCATTTAAAGGGAATTTGCCATTCCAGCAGACAGATGCCATATTGCTGCAAAGGAAGACACAGATGGGGCCTCGATAGGCATTTGTTTGTTTGTTAGTCCACCCCCTCCAGGGGAGAGGAGAACAATCCCCAAGAGTTAGTGACAAATCTCTGTCAATCAACTTCCTTCCAGATGATGCCTCACGAGTGAAGCTGTCCAATGTCGATGATGACCCTTGCTCCGACTACATCAATGCCAGCTACATTCCTGTAAGTGGGTGGGACGAAGCTTTGATGGGTAGCTGCTCTGGAAATGCCTTGCCGCTTGCATGCTCCCACGGTTCTGCTTTTAAGGTCTAGAAATTTTCACAGGTTTTTAAATCCTTGTCTGTTGCTGTTAGACCAGTACTGCCCGATTGCCATAAAATATGGGTAATCCAAGTCAGCCCCTGATAAGGTTCTTTTTTCACCTTGGATATAGTCACACACAGAGTCCAAAATGCATTTTCAAAGGGTTTTTTTGTTTTGTTCTGGGTCCCCCCCCTTTCTGCTGCCTTTAGCCAACATTAGAGCTCACTAAGGAATCTGGATGAGGCATTTATGGTTCAACAGTAGAAACCTCACCTCCTATGTAGGAAACACAAATTTGAGAACCACATACACACGCATTGTCTGCCATCAGTGGAGGTTTGTATGTTGCCATGGTACTGGACTTATTTCAGCAATGTTTCCAGGTGACGAAGAAAGGCCTGGTGATGTACTTTAAAAACAGACACCAAAAAACCCTCCAAACTATAATGAGTCAGCAAAATCTAGGCATCACAACAGAACACTGCCCCATCTACAATAGATTGTTCAGTGGTGCATGGTGTCATCATGATTCTGGGCAAACGAACTAACAACAAGAACACTGCACTGCTGATGTCCTGCTATGGCTCCTTGGCTGGGGAAACTGATCCCATCTTGTTTAGAAAAAGTATAAAAACAACTCAAAGGTTGAGTCAAATCTGTGATCTCTGATTGTGAATCCCATTTAGTCGATTTTCTGTAACTCACTTTGGCAAAAAAGACTTCAAGGTCAAAGATATGACCAGGTTAGGAGACTACCTCTGCCTCATGCTAAGCCTATGACTTCAGGGAATTTATGTCACCTCTCTGAGTCTTTCTTTCCTTTTGGAAAAAATTAGATCAATAACTTCAGTCATCCATTTATTCAATGAAAACTAAATGCTGACTCCCAGACTCTGAGACTGAACTGTTTGTGGGGATAGTGTAATAGAAAAAACCCAACCCTCAAAGGACCCTAAGAAGAGTGGAGACATCAGGAAATGACAAGGCCAGGCTTGAGAGATGTGCTAGAACCTTGCTTCTCCATCGTTAGCATTTGCATTCATCACCCGCGGATCTTGGTAAAATGCAGATGATCATTCAGCTGAGGCTGAGGTAGGGCCTCAGATTCTGCCTTTCTAACAAACTCTCAGATGAGCCAGATATTGCTGGCCTGAGTACTACATGCTGAGTTTCATGCTGTAAGAGGTTTCCATGGGAGCATCTGGGAGGAGAACATCACCCTGCAAAAGATAAAGGTTCTGCAGAGCAGGCGACATTCTGAGATTTGGAGGCTAAATAAGAATTAGCCAGACAAGAAGCAGCATTAGAGTAGGCGGTGGGCTGGGGGTGGCAGAGGTGACATAATTGCAGAGGCCTTGAGAAGAGACAAGAGAAAGAGCTTTGAACTAGTATCTACAAGTAATCTGGTATCACTGAATGCACAGTGAGTGGGTGAAAACAAGCTCCACTTGTTGACTGGGACCAAATAAAATCTGTCAAGGCTTCTGGTCCACTGCATGAAATCCCATTGTTGTTATTGCTACTGCTGTGAAACTGCCATCTTGTCAACCTCCAAGTCACGGCAACTTTATGCACAGTGGTGTCTACTCCATCCCCACGAACATTTAGACTGTGCTGCTAAGATTCATCGGGTCGTCACTAACTGATTTTTTGGGGGGGGGAGTAAATTGCAAGCCTTTCTAGCCTCCCAAGTCTGTTTGTTTAAGCAATGTACAAGCCACCACATGAGGTTCATTGGCTGAGAGTTGAACTCCAGTCTGCTGTGTGGAAAGGTAGAATACTGTCACTGAGCAACCAATGGCCTGTTCTACGGTAGATGCTCAGTAAACAGTGGTTCTCTGCCCATAAGTTCCTCTTTTATTATACCCCCTACTAGCATCATTCTCATTTCAGTCACCCAAAGTTAACAAAATTATGCTATGTTAAATAGGGAGAAAGTCCCATCAAAGGCAGTCTGTCGACGCACACATGCACACACACAAAAGAACGAAGGCACTTGTCCACAAGCCTGAGGGTATACTGTTTTCTAGGTTATCACCTGTATCCTACATTTGCCCTTTTTGGAATAAGCCCAGCCTAATAAAAAGGAAGCTGGCTCTAAACAATAGTTCAGTACTCTGGCCTTTGTCCTTCCTGCTTCCAGACCTTGACACTTTATGAGTATCTTTTTCTCAAATCAGGGGCCTGGCAGAGACTTGCAAATCATCCAATCTGCAGAGCTAACTCTTTGTTTACAGAAGAGGTCTATTGTTTCTGACTCTCCATATTGTAAATTCATCTCAGGGCAACAACTTCAGAAGAGAATACATTGCTACTCAAGGGCCACTTCCGGGCACCAAGGATGACTTCTGGAAAATGGCGTGGGAACAGAACGTTCACAATATTGTCATGGTGACCCAGTGTGTCGAGAAGGGCCGCGTGAGTAAACAGCCTCCTTGTTTCAATGCTTGGCTTTCTACTTCCTGGATGGAATCAAATCCCACCATCTCAAGTTAAACTCTATGAAAATCAAGTAGGGATCATGGGAGAACATTGTTAGGGAATCAAGCCATTCAGTTATAGAAGGCTTGGATAGTGAATGCAGGCAGTGTCTGATTTTGATTCTGGTTCTGAAGTTTGAGTCAAAAGTCCCCCAAATAAGGACAGGAGTTATTAGATGTGCCATTTCAGAGAAGAATAGCTGGCCAGTTGTTATTCCTGCCTTCAGTATTTGGCAAAGGTAGAGAACTCACCAGAATCAATGGACCTGCCCTTTGCTTTCACAAAATAAAGAAGTGATTTCTAGATTGGGTGTGTAGACAAAGTAAATCACTATCTAGGAAAATAAAGGGAGCCTCTTCTGCTCATTTTCTAGAAGATTACATCCAGTATCAAAAGAGGGATTAGATGTAAAGTGTCTAGTATCTTGAGCTCAGTAAAATAAGTTGTCTTTCTTTTGTCTTCGTGCATGTAAATAAGTTCATCTAAATATTCTGACTTCTCAGGATCACTTGGCATATAGCACTTGATCAAGGTCAAAACACTGAAATAAGACTACAAACAAGGCAAGACTAAGAAGTCATGCTTTCCTTTGCCTAAATGTATGCTTTTCCAGAAAGTGTGAGAAATTTTCATACATGGTGAAAGAAAGAAAAAGACAGAAACCACGAAAGACAATGGCAAATGAAAAGGAAATTAACCCAGAGGTTGGGATTTTGCTTTTTGTAGGATGTCACGAGCTGCTCTGGTCTGTCCTCTTCACTTGAAGCAGCAATCTGACTTCAGCACTGGCTATGAGCAGGTTAATACAAAGCAGATGGCCAAATCTCTTTAGCAGCTGATTCTGATTCCTGACTCAGGAAGACTTTTTGAGGAGGGAAAGTCCAGGTTCACAAAGAAGTCACATTTCCGGTCTTTTTTTTTCTTCTGTCTGTCTTCCTGTAGGTCAAGTGTGACCATTACTGGCCAACAGACCAGGATCCCCTCTACTATGGAGACCTCATCCTGCAGATGATCTCAGAGTCTGTGCTACCAGAGTGGACCATCAGGGAGTTTAAGATCTGCAGCGTATGTTAACTTAGTTCACTTCATTTCACAACCTAACTTGGAAAGATGGAGGAGTGAACCTCAGTCTTGTTTCTGATCATCCTTCTCAACAGTCTGCTCTCTGCTCCTGCAGGAGGAACAGCTCGACTCGCAAAGACTGATCCGCCACTTTCACTTTACGGTGTGGCCAGACCACGGAGTCCCCGAGACCACCCAGTCCCTTATCCAGTTTGTAAGAACCGTCAGAGACTATGTCAACAGAACCCCAGGGAGCGGGCCCACTGTGGTGCACTGCAGGTACTTGAGAGTCCCTACAAATGACAACCACACAGGGTCTACTGGGTCCACTGTGCCTAGGTGACAGAAAAAGGCACAAGCCTGGAAATCTGGTGGGTGGAGGATTTATCTGGTTCAAATAGACTCTTAACCCCAAAGACATCCTCTCTTGTGTGTGTGTGTGTGTGTGTGTGTGTGTGTGTGTGTGTACATATGTGTGACCTCCATTGCTAAAGTTATCTAGTTGCACTGCAATACCAAAGACACGTAGTTTAAGGCCACCAGCTCCTCCGCAGTAGAAGGATGGACAGTCTCCTCCCGTGTGATTAAAAGCCTCTGAAAACCCACCCAAGAGTCAGCTGTGGGTCTGTTCCAGTGCTATGGTATACAACAACAATATGTATTTACCAATTAAACTTTTTTTAAATTGTATTAATTTTAATGAACATTTACAGAGATTTTGGATTTCCATTCATTCATTGTTGCATTTTTTTTCCTGGATTAATTTTTTTTTACATGTTCAGTGCAATGCCATTGTTCATGGTCAGGATATTGTATAACCACTATGCTTTTCCAAATCATTTTATCATCATGAATAGAAATTCAGTGACTCCTAAGCAAAGATCCCCTTATCATCATCCCCTGGGAAATACTAGTAAACTTTGACCTGTGCATAAATGATCTATTTCATGTAAGTGATATTCTACATTGTGTCTCCCTTTGTGGCTGACATTTCAGCATGTTTTCAAGTTACTTTCATATGACACCATGCAACAAGACTTCATTTGTCTTAGTGGCTGAGGAAGTACTCCCTCCTGTATGTGTTATTTATACTTCTTCCCTTTCTTATTCCTTGGAATTGCCTACTCTCCCTTCTCTTCCTGTGTATCCCTGTTCCTCCGTCCTTCTTGACCTTCTTCCAGCTCTCGAATCTCTTGCTACCTAGTGCATTTCATTTTGCTCTTAAATTTCTGTCTGACTGTCATACTTTTACTGGTTTCTGTGATTTCATCACCTCTTCTCTTCCAGATTATAAATTCATTGAGTTAGTCCATTGTCATTACTTCTTCAGGAATGACACGGTGGAGCGTAAAGCCTTTCTCATATAACCTCTGAATTTGTCTATTCCTTCCAACTCTATCCTGTTGGCAGCCTGCCTCTCGGTCTTGCTGTTTTCTGTAAGGGGTGAAGGAATTAGGAAAGATCCAGTGGGAACCTGAAAAGATGGGGTGATGGTAGCTATGGATCAATGGTGATTCATGTTATAAAACACCATGTGTGGGAATAATAATATGAAACACAGGTGAATAGAGGAATGCGTGAAACATAATGTATATAAACAAAACACAATATATACTACTTTTATACTCAGAGTAATAAAATAAAAATATACTTATTTCTACTTTTTAAAATTTCATTTCACTTTGAGTCTTGACTGGTGATATTAAAGTGTTGAGGATAAAGAACTACCAGGCAGAGACAGACCTGACCTTGAGGCACAGAATGTCTTTAGGCAGATAAATGCAAAAAGGGAGCCTATCTGTAGGTTCTACCTTTTTCCACTGATTCCTTTCCAGTTCTGGGACAATTTACGTGGCCTCTCTTTGCCTCAGACTGTGTGTATATAAAATGAATCTCACTCTCCGGGGAGCTTGTGTTTAGCTAATTGTTGTTTGCAACAACACTCTGGTGCCCCTAACTGCATGGCACTAATAAATAAGGAGCAGGGAATTGCTACAGTAAGTGAAATGTCAGATGCACTAATTTTCTCCCAATCAGCCCAGCACCCTAGGAGCCTTGCTTTTATATGTCACTGGAACCCTGATGTTTTTAATAAGACTGTAAGGCAGTCAGTGGCTTGATGCATTCTGAAGACTAGAAAGCATTTTCCCCCAGGACCACTAGAGAACTGATCTTGTTTTGTATTATCAATATGTGCATCAAAAATCTCCAAAGGTGTTAAGCACAAATTGGCAGTACTGAATGAAGCTGAAGGTACTTATACTCTATGACCCAGAAGTTCTGTTTCTAGGTATAAATCCTAGAGAAATCTTCACAAAAGCACACAATTCTGCTCCTGGCAATATCCTTTTAACAGAATGAAACTGTAAATTACCTCGCTCTCTATCAGTAGTATTGAGGAGCCTTGGTTTCAAGTTGGTTAGAGTGTTTGGCTGCTAACAGAAAGGCTGGTCGTTCAAACCTGACAGCTACCCCATGGGACAATGATGTGGTTGTCTGCTTCTCTAAAGACTTACAGCTGTGAAAACCCTGTGGGATGGTTCTACTCTGCTCCACAGGGTTGCTGGGAGTCAAAATGTAGATTTAACAGCAGTGAGTTTGGCTTGATTTGGGCAAGGGATTAGCTCTGTTTAAAATAAATGACATCCACGTATTACAGGATGGAAAAATCTCACAACTGAGATTTATACTTAGTAGTGGAAAAGTATACTTACTGAGTAGAAAGGTTGGCCAACAGTGTGTATAATACTTGCTCTCAGGGAGCTCTGGTGGCCTAGTGGCAAGAGGCTGCATGCAATCCCTAATGCATGTGGTTCGAATCCATCAGATACTCTGCTGGAGGAGGGAAATTTCTTTCTGTGCCAGTCAGATCTGATTCGATGGTTCACAGAAGAGAAATAAAAAAATAAAATAAATTTTAAAAAACCCAACTTGCCGTCATTTTAGTATTTTTTAAAGTCTATGAAATACGTAATTTTTATGGAATTATATGTATGTAGAAAAAAATATAAAAACATGCATGGAAATTATATCAAATATAGAGCAATGAATATCTGTGGTGGGGGAAATGTGGAGGAAAGCAGAAAGGAAAAAGAGATGGAAGGCAGAAGATCTAGATTTGATGG